GAGGATCTTCAAGATAAGTTTTCATGAATATCTATACAGATCACAGTTCTATTCTTTTTCAAACACTTCTCTATTCAAAAAACAGCTTTTTTCAAGTTTTTTAATATTAACTGAAACAGTCGAAAGATTAACAGACTGTTAGTGTATAGAATCACGTCAGGTACCCTCACGAGGGGAGTGTATCAACTTTGGCGTTCGTAATTCCTCTCTACAAAGGAGGGTGTCGCCTATTAAGAGTTAGGTATAAACAGTGGTTTTATATCAATTCTATTCCAAATTCCATGAGAAAACTATTGTACAGATGTTTTTTCAATGGATATGTGTTCTTAGAAATTACCACCCAATTATAATTCGACATATGGAGCAATTGGTGGATTAAATCACTAATTCAGTTTTTTTTTCAGGATATTCCAGGAACATTGAAAAATATTAAATTTCTCAATCTTGTATGGACACTTCGAAACACTCTTCGGGAAGAAGGGTTTGAACTCAGGGATTTTTTGAGGTAGGTTGAAATGGGAGAAGCATAATACTAATTCATATTTTTCCAGGGTTTGCAAGAAATAATGTCAACTATCACAGATTTCTCAAAATTTTGAAACCGGTTTTCGCAAAAATTGCTAATATACTCGTGGAACTCCCAACTTTGGAATTCTACATCTGCGACCGCCTGCCCAGATAAATGATGAAATTCGAGGATCTTCAAGATGAGTTTTCATGAATATCTATACAGATCACAGTTCTATTCTTTTTCAAACACTTCTCTATTCAAAAAACAGCTTTTTTCAAGTTTTTGAATATTAACTGAAACAGTCGAAAGATTAACAGACTGTTAGTGTATAGAATCACGTCAGGTACCCTCACGAGGGGAGTGTATCAACTTTGGCGTTCGTAATTCCTCTCTACAAAGGAGGGTGTCGCCTATTAAGAGTTAGGTATAAACAGTGGTTTTATATCAAATCTTTTCCAAATTTCATGAGAAAACTATTGTACAGATGTTTTTTCAATGGATATGTGTTCTTAGAAATCACCACCTAATTATAATTCGACATATGGAGCAATTGGTGGATTAAATCACTAATTCAGTTTTTTTTTCAGGATATTCCTGGAACATTGAAAAATATTGAATGTCTCAATCTTGTGTGTAAACTTGGAACTACCCTTTGGAGAGAAGGGTTTGAACTCAGGGGTTGGTAGAGGTAGGTTCAAACAGAAGAAACACAATATTAATTCATATTTTTTCAGGGTTTGCAAGAAATAATGTCAAATATCACAGATTTCTCAAAATTTTGAAACCGGTTTTTGCAAAGATTAATAATATAGAAAAGGAACTTTCTCAGATATATTTATGAACACAAAAAATGGATATATATTTAAAGAAATACATTGAGAATTCGCATTCTCCATGTAATGAAAATATTAATTCTTTCTCGGTTCATTCAACAGGTAACTACTTTCCTGGCTAGATGCCACGACGAATATTGAATTACATCTATTGAACACACACGATAAGAATTTGAAAACAAAATTTCCTGAAGTAGAGAATTTGCATTCTCCTTCATATACAGAAAATGTATATAATATAATTCTGAATATTCAACAGAAAACAACTACTTTCCTGGCTATTTGCCACGTCGAACATTGAATTATATCCACCCACAAGATTGGCCCGCAAGACCTCAAGTGTGATGCATATAGATAAAATCAGCTCTTCAGGGAGACTATAAAAATGCATTGAAATACAGGTTGTTCCATTTGAAAAATCAGTATTGCTGCTACTTTCTAGTAGAAGGGGTAACGCCGCATCGTGTAAAACATTTCAGATCATGTCTGACTGACCATCAAATTTTCAGATCATATCTTGTTTGTTTTTTTTAAACTTCAATGATATATAAGAGAAGATACCATAATTTGTTACTATTTTATTACTAAAACTTATAAATATAATCACGAATTTTTTACTCATCATTCGATGAACAAAAGAGCTAATTTAAGGACATACGTTGATAGAAACTTTCCATATCAAAATGAGGTTAGGAATCCATGTCATTCGAGTTTCGGTTCTGCTAGGTTGAGATAGAAATAGTCGGAAATAGTCAAGTATACATTATGGTATATTTCAAGTTCGCAAAAAACAATTCAATGCTAGGTTGAATTCAGTTTGTGTCCACAACAACAACAATTTTTAGGAATCTACTTTTATTGATCATTCAATTAAACAGTCGAAAAATTTCAATGATGCTGTGCTCTATGAAGCACAAGCATAATACTAATCTTAATTTTTTTCAGGATATTCCAAAAGCAATGTGAACTAGATAGCAGATATTCCAGCATTTCAGAACCAATACTAACAAGAACTGTATATATTCTTTTGTGACACATCACTTAGGAGCTCAACATTTGTCAGACAAATTAACGGAATATGGAAATTTCCAAGATACGTTTTCATGAACATTGAATTCGAATGGATATCATATTTTTATTCTTCTCCGAACAAACAATCAAACAGTTAGTCGACATTGTGAGTGTATGGAAGCATGTCCGGTACCCTTACGAGGGCAGTGTATCAACTTTGACGTTCGTAATGCCTCTCTACCATAAAAGAGTGTGTCACCTTCGAGAGTTAGGTATAAACAGTGGTTTTATACCAGTTCTTTTCCAAATTATTTGTGCACTTTAGGAAATCAGCAGTCGTTGTTTCAATGAAGCTGTGCTCTTCGAAGGATCGATACTCATGTTTCCTTTTATAAATGTCACATATAATGAACAAAAATATCAAAGCAGCGCCACTTAAGTAGAAAAGAAGGAAAGAAACACTCCAAAATTGAAATACGAGCTAGCCACTCCCGTTTTGCACTAACGTAGTGCGGGTGCAATACCAGTGCACCACTATGTTTACGAATGGAATTCGCTATAAGGCAAAGAAAATATATGAAATTTCCATTTCTTCTTCTCAGTATAGATGTATATCAAACGAATGATTTTGCACCAAAAATGGCCTTATTTTGGGAATGTTGTACCAACGTACTTTTCTTGACAAAATGTATCAAACCTGGTTCGATTGTACCACCTGTTGCAACCCTGTCCACCGAGTTATTTGACAGATTTGACATCTCATATGGTTGTCGTTGTATTGAGTTCATTGCATGGCACTCATTTCATATGTCATATCTGGAATGCTTGTCATGCGTTGCCACAGCTTGCTCGATTAAGCGAGACCTCGTTCGTTTTGTCACTAGCACACTAACCTAAGTCACTAGTTCACTCGCTACTCTTTGTCAAATCTCGCTCGCTTGCACGTGGTTTGCACCTCTACTAGTAGGCCACACAGTTTAGGCACAATATGGGATAACGAAGTTCTAATTTTATGAAGTTTAGCTATATATTGGCAATTGGCACAAGCAATAAATTCAATGTTTCTACCAATAGTACCAAATGAATATTCGACCGGATAGCCTTGGAAACTATAAAGTCCCTTCAAAAATCATATTTAAGATGATGCTTAGTAATAAGGTCGATTGCCTGATTTTCTTTGTTAAAGAAACGCCAAATCAACTCTTGTAATTCTTCAATCACCTTGCTTTGTCATGGATATAAACAAATTAAATATTTAATCGCGTCAAATGTTTCATCTAAGTTTTATGTAATGAGGGCTAACCATAGAAATCATATTATATATACGTGATAATATGATTTGTATGGGGCTAACATTATTTGTTGTCCACCAGATCGCGCTAATGAGACGTGAGGTCAGAGTTTGTAGAACTGATCGATTTGGTTTTTCAAATTCTGTGATTTGATTTTCAGTTGTTAAGTAATTTATGAAACCGCGAAGTGGAATGGAAGATGAAAAGGACTTGCAGTTTTTTCTCGGAGACGGTGTTATCGCTTATTTTTCGGAACTGCCATAACATAGTACCCACTTTTTTCCGTGGGAAAAAGTAATTTCATAAAGAGTGACGTTCTGTAACCTGTCAACAAAGATGGAATGTCGATTTTTCCTCCCGGCACAGATAAAAATAAACAGTATTCAATGAAGAGAGAAGAGTTGAGCAATCCTTTGATAGATAGATGGAACCACTTTCAAAAATAATATACAAAGAATGTGAAAAAAATGGGATTTCTCATTTTTATATTTATTTATGTACTCAGGTAACAGAGTAATGTGTTATGAGTCAATGTAGGGTCGATCCGTTGGTCATTAACAATCTCGCTGTTGATATCTCGCTCGTTTTTGACAGCAGAGCTCGCTCGAAAAAACACATGCCTGTGGCAACACTGTATCATTTATGGTTTGTCAGTTGTCAGTGTTGTTCTTGTCTTGTCATTACTTTTGTAATAGATCTATTACATTTCACGGAGATTATTACGATTTGTTATGAATCTATTACTATTTGCTGTTAGCACCAGAATACAATGAACTCAATACAACTATTGAGTACATTGCCAAAATACGATGTTTCATTACTGAAAATCTATTTCTGTGTTCAGCAAATAAATATGTTCTGCTCTATGGGCCTATGTTCCATATATTCATGTCATATGTTCTGTGTGACTTCTGCATCATTGCATCAGAACTGTATTATTTGTGCGATAGGGTTTGACAAGAATAACATTTAGAATGTCAAATGTCAGATTTTTCGAGTCTATTACCTACACAGAACTTTACCTATTACCACAGCCGTCTTCAGACGGCTGTGCTATTACCTTTAAATACGAATCTGTTACCTTTTTCCAAGGAAATCTATTACGAAAAAAATCAGACCCAGGAACAACACTGTCAGTTGTCAGTTTTATTGTCAGACATTTTGCAAGGTATTATTGATAATTTACATGATTATAAATATCAGGAAAATTATAATTATTTCGGAATACAATATAAAATAAATTATTGTGTGTGGACAGCGGATCATTCATATATTCACACTGATTAATCGATAATATTCCGTTTGGCAATGTGCTAATTTGGCTTGAAGAAGGTGTTGATTTAAGATCCCAAAATGGAGAATATACCAAGAACACATGAAGGTAATTATATATTCTTCCATTATTAATATTTGGTTGAATAATGCCAATGGGACGATAAGGATTCGAATATTTTTATTATACTCAATACCTTGTATATTCAAGAAAAATCACAATTAACAATATAATCAAACAGTTGGGTCTGCCAAGGTTTCTTATTTATTCAAAATCATTGTCAACAGATATTGAAGCCCAAATAAGAGAAATCCAATCAAAGAAGAAAGAAGCACCAGTAGAGGATTCCCCAGAGAAAGTAGCAAAGCTTGGGGAAACTGGATTTTTTGACAGTGACATCTATGAAACTGGAAAAGGCAAATATGAAGGCTATGTTACATCAATTGCAGCTAATGATGAAGTTGATGATGATGAGGAAGACATAGGATATTCACAGAAACGGACAGGTCTAGGAGCTCCAGTAGCTCTTCTGAATGATGTGGCACAGGTATGAATATTTTGTTGGTTCTCAAACCTGTTGTTTGTTGTTTCCTTGAGCAGGAACAAATAGTTGGTACTTTTATATACAATATCTTTGGAAGATAGATTTGATAAAAAAATTCCAAGATGTTGATCAATCCTAATATGAATAATGTTCTGAGCATTTTAGAACATTATCAATTATTCTTTTCTGTAATCAGTAGTTATTGCAGATTTATTGTGATTTTTTTTTTTTTCAGAGTGAAAAAGACTATGACCCATTTGCAGATCGTAGAAGAGCAACAATTGCAGATAGGGAAGATGAATATAGGCAAAAAAGGAGAAGGATGATTATTTCTCCTGAGAGAGTTGATCCATTTGCAGATGGTGAGTTCAAAATAAATCAAATGATTTAATTATGTGTTGAATTATATATTACTATGAAAATTTTTGCATTGTTAAGAGATAAGTTGAAATTTAGATAATGATAAAGATAGTATTTGTTTCAATTCTACTTTAATATTAATTTGAAAACTCACCATGATTTATTATGGCTCATTGTTATTGAGTAGAAAATGATCTGCAATGATCAGTTCATTCATGAAATTTACTATGACCAAGTCCAAAATCTACATGAGAACACTATGAAAAGCAAATTAACAATAATTATTCATCAAAATACAATGCATACCTACTTAAGAAGTTTTTTTTTTGAAATTTCATAAAGTAATTGCTTATACTCTACTTTTTCATTGATTTGAACAAAAGAAGTGTGTTTTAAATTTTCATTGATTGATATTGTACTCTTATGAGAAAATTGAAATTTCAAAATTATATGCTGACATTTATAAGTTGGTATATAGAAATTTGAAAACCAGATTATATGTTTGACCAGATAATTGCATGTAAATGTGCAAATTTCATGTTCTGATAGATATTCTACTGTTGTATTTTTTATTATTGTTCATGATTTTGTAATGATAAATATTCTCACATATACAGATGGGAATTTTGGTAGGTATACAAATGTTGGAAATTAATGAATAATTATGGAAATTGTGAAAGTTTTGGAGGAATTGTGGGGATTCAATCTGGAAGTTAATGGGAATTGGTGTACAAAATCCACATTAGTGAAATGCAACTCAACTTCTTATGTTGCAAAGGAATTCATCACCAAATTTAATTGGTAATATTTTGCCAAACAGTGGAAGACCTCATTTCATGAAAAAGAGTTCATTATGGGACTTTGATGGCTTCTTACTATATACATACATATATATGTTAAGTAATTTGGACAAATAACATGTTATGGTAATCCAGTAATCTGAAATTTGGAATCACAAGTTTTCATCATTCATTGAAAATGGTGGAGTTTGATTAGGTGGTCATTTATCCTGCATAATTGAATGCTCTTCAATATCTCTCAACAAAACACTCTGTTTTGGCTGTTCAACCTCTGATAAGTGGATTACATATTATGTTCTATGCAGACTTTGAAACACAATCCAAAATATTTTTTCTGGTGAACATGTATTCTCTGACACACCCTGTATACCTAATCCAGTATCAGTGCATCCCTAACAGTCTTTACCTTCCCTTCATTCTCAACACTAGGTTTTCTCCAGTGTTTTCCACCTTTATTTCCATGTAAGACAGACTGAAAAATATTTGAAACATACAGTGTGTCTCACTTCTAATTGAAACACCCCTGTATCTTGCGTATTCGTTGGGTGAGGATCCTGAAACTTGCTGGAGCGAGAGATACCAAAAATGCACTCCAATGATCAAGTAAGGTCATCTTGAGTGGTATACACTGCTTGCCAACAGCCATGGAACCACCCCAATTTCCGGAAAATGATGTTAGGAATCACTTCGGATTCGATATCAGGACGCCCAATACACTAACTTTTCATATTTTTCTTCGAAAATTTTCAGTTCTGAAAATTTCATTTTTGTCTCACTTTATTTTATTTTATTTATTTATTGAACAAATAACTTCCAGACAGAATAGGCTCTGGTATAAGGAAGTACATAATTATATACCTATAGGTAAACATTTCATCATTCAAAATATATCAACAACTGTAAATTGGCAAACAAAGAATAATATTTGTAAAAAAAAAAAGGCATGATTTATTTTATCCAGTTCGAACAGAAATAATCAGTTTTTTTACTTTATTTTTGGATGTACCTATATTTCTGCAATTTTTTATATTATCAGGTAGTTTATTGAATTCAGTTAAGGCTGAATAAGTGAATCTTTTTTGTCCGATTAGGGAGCTAGCGGCGTCAAGATGAAACAAGTTATATTGTCTAGTTTCATGATTATGAATTTCAGAATTCCGTATCAAAATAATATTCTTATTCATGATATTATATGATATTTTAAGAGTTTCAATTCTACATATATATTTCATCTAAAAAATACGTATTTGATATTTCATACAATTGATTGGTTGGTGTATCAAATGGGAGACGATACAATACTTTTAACGATTTTCTAATGTTGATATTTTATTGAAATTATTTTTTGAATGAGATTTCCAAACATTTATTAAATAGTTGATACGACTCAGTATATGAGAGTAGAGAATCATGTTTGCAATTTTAATATCAAGTTTGGGACATCTTCTCAATGCACCAATAATTGGAGATATTTTTTTTGTCAGAATATCGATATTTTTGTCCCACTTTAACCTTTCATCAAACCAAATACCAAGATATTTTATCTGGTCAGTTTGTTTTAAGAGTTCATTTTTTATTTTAAGGTTGAGGTAAATTTTTTGTTTATTTTTTTGGTGAAAAATCATATATTCTGTTTTGTTAGTATTTATCGATAAAAGGTTAAATTGGAGCCATATTTCAAATATTTACCACATTTTCTAAATCTGAAGGATTCTTGCCTTCATATAAAAGTACTGTATCATCTGCATACATGGTATATTCACTATATTCACACGCTAGACCAATTTCACTGATATTTTGAACATAAAGTAAATATAGTATAGGTCCTAAAACAGAGCCTTGTGGGACACCCTTATTGATTAATAGTTTATTTGACACAGAGTAATCGTTGGGTTAGGATCCTGAAATTGGCTGGAGCGGGAGATATACCAAAAATGTACTCTATGGCCAAGTGGGGTCATTTTTATTTATATACACTGCTCGCCAACAGCCATGGAACCACCCCAATTTCCGGAAAATGATATTAAGAGACAAAATAGGTTGTAAATCACTTCGGATTAGGAATCAGGACGCCCAATCCACTAACTATCCATATTTTTGTCGAAAAAAATCTCAGTTCTGAAAATGTAATTTGTGTCTCACTTTTCATGGAAACACCCCCGTATTTTACGTAATTATTGAGTTAGGATTGTTGGATTTCCAAAAAATATTTCAAAGATACAATCAATGATCAATTGAAATTACCATTAGTGATATACACTGCTCGCAAGCAGCCATGGAACCACCTACACGTCCGGCAAATCATATAAGCAGACAAGATCGGATGGAAATCACTTCGGATTCGAAAACAGAAAACTGAACGTTGATTCACTAACTACTCATATCCCTTCTGAAACATTTTCAGGTCTGAATTAATAGATTCTCTCTCACTTTTCATGGCAGTTCTTTAGTATCATATTATGTAATTATTGATGAAGGAGTCTGAAGAAGAAAGAGACCAATAACCAATTAGGATCATCTTCAATGATATACTGGTCGCAAGCAGATACAGAACGACCGACATTCCAATAGGAAAAATTTATTACATCAGAAAATTCACTTGATGGTTTTTCTGAAATTGATAGTGATAAAGTCAGTTCTCATCAGGGATAATGAAATAACAATCTCAACTAAACTACTTACCAGATGAAGTGGGACAGCAAAAAAATTGCCTAATTTTGATAAGCTATAACGCGAACATTTCTTGGCAGATGTTGGATTTTCAACCAAAGGTAGAAAGCGTCATCCTTGGGCTATGCGTCATTGGCGTCGGGTTTTTATTTTTGCGATTCGTTCTCTTTGTACAGAGTGTGAAATAAGAGCCGGAAAAATTTCAAATTTTTGACCAATAATTTGGGAAATGTGAGGGACCCTAGAATTATTTTTCAGATCTTGGGTGAATGCTTGGTCCGATACTTCGAGACGCCATTGAAATTTGTTTGATAAATTGCGTTGCAATGGAAAAATTGCCATTTTTTGAAATTCCATTTTTATTTTAGAATGTGGCCTCTTTTAGTTGAACAATAACAGTCAACATCTAGACTGCAACGAGGCATATTTCTACTGAAGATAATTATCACCAGTGGCGCGAGAAAGGGGTTTATGATCTTTAGAAACGAGAAATTCGTTTTTATTGAAAAAATAATTATGGAACTGGAATTTTATTTTGTCGACATCTTTTGCACGCCTCTGAATTTGTCAACATCATGCTATTTAAATGTATGGCAACTTTTTAACTGTAACGATCAATAAAACTGTTGATATTTTTCCAATAGAAACGTCATTTCTAAATATCATAAGCCCCTTTTCTGCACGCCTCTGAGTTTGTCAACATCATGCTAATTGTAGGTATGACCTTTCTTCAACTGTAACGATCAATAAAATCGTTTAATTGCTTCAATAAAAACGAATTTCTCGTTTCTAAATATCATAAACCCCTTTTTGCGCGCCACTGGTGTTAATTATCTCCAGTAGAAATATCCCTCGTTGCAATTCAGATGTTACTGTTATTGTTCAACTAAAAGAGGCCACTTTTCAAAATAACAATGAAAGGACCCCGCACTTTTAGTACGTAAAATGGTTCTCGGTGAAATTTTTTGAATTTTCAGTATGTTGTAGAATTCGATGAACTGATTAAACCTGCAAAATCGTGAAGTTCTTTGATGAACAGATTCTGAGATACAGGGCGTTGAAGTTACAAATCGGTATTTTTCATTTAATTATTTTCTCGAAATTCAAAGATGCCAAGTACAATTTTCTTCGCTCATATCATTAACGAACCTCCATATTACTCAACATAATTCAGATGGTTCAGATGATGTAACTGTTTACAGAGTGAAACATATAAACATTTCAGTGATGTCTGAAAATTCGATGTAATAATGAAATATCGAAAAAATAATTTAGGCGTGCAATATACTATGCTCATGCCATCATGAATCACAATTCATACATTTCATACAGGGTGATTTGAAAAATTGGTGACACCTAAGACCGATTTATTCATACACATCCTGTATATTCGAGTGAATTGTTAACCTCCCAAGATAGCTGATGCCGTATGAGCATGATTTCGTTGAGATATATAGGGTGATCATGAAGATTTTCGATGATGAAAATGACAAAAAATCGTGTTTTTTGAAATCACCCTGTTATTCATGATTAACTCGGTGAAATTCCCTAATTATTTTTTAATATATTCATCATTCGCTCCTCAACGCTGTCTTGAGAATTCAGTTTCCTATCATGACGCGGGTGTTATAGTTATTAATTCAGGAACTTACCATTTGCATGAAGAGTTGAAGAGACTTGTTCACTTACATTCGCATAGTGGCCGATATTTTTCACAAATATTGAAACGTGAGAATGTGGAGACGAAAATAAGTTGAGGATTCATATACATTGTGAACATTAAAAATTCAATAACAATAGCACATATATGGATTTAATAATATTAATATAATGTACAGATAGTTAAGCGAATTTCGTTGGTAAAATGAAATTGATGGAAACGCCTGATTCTGAGTGGAAAACAAATGTGAAAAAATCTGTCAATTCCAGGATTCAACTCTCCCTAATAGGAATCTCCCATCTCCTAGGTATTGTTCGTTTTTCATTTTGGCTGAGCTTGTATACCAACGAAAACTATCTGTACATTATATTGATATTATTAAATCCATATATCTGCTATTGTTATTGAATTTCTAATGTTCACAGTGTATATGAATACTAAACTTAATTTCGTCTCCACATTCTCTCGTTTCACTATTTGTGAAAAATATCGGCCACTATGCGAATGTAAGTGAACAAGTCTCTTCAACTCTTCATGCAAATGGTAAGTTCCTGAATTAATAACTATGACACCCGTCATGATAGGAAACTGAATTCTCAAGACAGCGTTGAGGAGCGAATGATGAATATATTTAATAATAATTAGGGAATTTCACCGAGTTAATCATGAATAACAGGGTGATTTCAAAAAACACGATTTTTTGTCATTTTCATCATCGAAAATCTTCATGATCACCCTATATACCTCAACGAAATCATGCTCATACGGTATCAGCTATCTTGGGAGGTTAACAATTCACTCGAATATACAGGATGTGTATGAATAAATCGGTCTTAGGTGTCACCAATTTTTCAAATCACCCTGTATGAAATGTATGAATGGTGATTCATGATGGCATGAGAATAGTATATTGCATGCCTAAATTATTTTTTCGATATTTCATTATTACATCGAATTTTCAGACATCACTGGAATGTTTATATGTTTCACTCTGTAAACAGTTACATCATCTGAACCATCTGAATCATGTTGAGTAATATGGAGGTTCGTTAATGATATGAGCGGAGAAAATTGTACTTGGCATCTTTGAATTTCGAGAAAATAATTAAATGAAAAATACCGATTTGTAACTTCAACGCCCTGTATCTCAGAATCTGTTCATCAAAGAACTTTACGATTCTGCAGGTTCAATCAGTTCATCGAATTCTACAACATACTGAAATTTCAGAAAATTTCACCGAGAACCATTTTACGTACTAAAAGTGCGGGGTCCTTTCATAAAATGGCGATTTTTCCATAGCAACGCAATTAATCGAAAAAATTTCAAATATATCTCGAGGTATCGGATCAACCATTCACCTAACATCTAGAAAATAATTACAGGCTCCCTCACATTTCCCAAATTATTGGTCAAAAATTTGAAACTTTTCCGGCTCTTATTTCACACTATGTACCAGGTGATTCAATAAGGGTGACGAGATTCTGTATCTGAGAAGCTAAGAATTTTGTCAACAAGGACTGTATCAAGAAAGGAATGTTTGACGATTGAAATAAAAAATCATACATGTCATTCTGGGGTTCTTACCGTCCTCGCTAAGGGGCGTGTTTTATAGACTATTAGTTTCTGAGATACAGTACCTCGCCACTTTTATTGAATCACCTGGTACAAAGAGAACGAATCGCAAAAATAAAAACCCGACGCCAATGACGCATAGCCCAAGAATGACGCTTTCTACCTTTGGTTGAAAATTCAACATCGGTCAAGAAATGTTCGAGTTATAGCTTATCAAATTTAGTCAATTTATTGGCTGTCCCACTTCATCTGGTAAGTAGTTTAGTACAATCGATTAGGTTATCAGGAGTGATCCAATGGATCAGAAATCATGACGGGTGTCCTTGAAATGAATCATGAATGAATGAATTGGTTGATAGTATGAGGAAAATCGTTACCGATAATATCGGTCAAAATATGGGAAGTTAATGAATTGTACCTATCTTGTCTCCGAGCTTGTCTCTTTATATTATTTTCCGGACATGTGTGTAGTTCCTCTTGGGCGTCCTGATTACGAATCCGAAGTAATTTTCAACCTATTTTGACTCCTAATATAATTCTCCGGTAATTGGGGTGGTTCGATGGCTGTTGGCGAGCAGTGTAAATCACTGAGGATGACCCCACTTGGTCATAAAGTGCATTTTTGGTATATCTCTCGCTCCAGCAAATTTCAGGACCCTTACCCAACGATTACTTAAGATACAGGGGTGTTTCCATTGGAAGTGAGACACACTGTGTAATCCAAGAAATGTTTTTAGCTATTGAATGTTGAGTTTTCAAATGATCATTCAACTTATCTCACACTTTTGTATCATGGGGTGTATGAATGCCAGTGTACAAGTTGAAATGGAATGAATGATAAAGAGAAACAACTACTGTGGAAAAATTTATTATTGAAAACATCTGAGTACATCATGACTAATATACTGATTTTGTTCTTCGGGGAAAACACATCATTTAGGGTTGTCAACTTGAAGAAATCGACGTGCCTAGAAGATCGCTCCCATAAAATACATTAGAGTTGGTAAAAAAAAAGTGTGAAAGAGTGTGTGTGCAAAGTATAGAAAATTATTAATTACCCCAGAATATTTCTAGGTACAATAGACCCGTTGTTTTTCAAGAAACTACCAGATTTTGTTGTGATGGACCATCCAAACACGTACGTATTCAGATTTTATCACCATCTTCTCTCATATAATGAAAAAATGATATTTATATTGTTTCTATCTAATGGCCAATCCTTGAAGGCAATGGATTTATACATCATTTTTCTCAAGAACCATCACACACATACATTGAAACATAATTCAACTGTGGAATAATTACTGATTAATATCAACTCATGGAATATTTTTAGTTTATTTACTTCAAAACAGTAAGTTGAATATTATTCATTATTCCAGGTTTTTTGAGATTTTCTGTGAGAGAGCATAATGAAAAAATATAGAAAAATATCAAATTATCACTTATCTTTGGACGTTTCTGGAACGAATCTGCTCCTGTTTCAAGATAAAAAATGGAAAATATTGTTTTTGCATTTTTTTAACGTTTTTTTAAACAAAGTGTCTGACAATGGAATGATTTTTTCTTTTTGGCCCTCTGAGAGAAACATTTTCAAAAGTAGTGACATTTTGGGCAAATATCTGATTTGTCCTCACTACATGTATATTGAAATAATACTGATATTTTTATTTTATAGAAACAACAGGCAATCCCAAAAATTCTGGAATAATGAACATAAGTAGTATCAGTTTGCTCTAAGACCTTTTTGGCTATTTCTCATGTGGAAGGCAGTACATACATTTTTCCCTATGTTATTTTTTGTTTCCAATTCAATACTGCCTCTAAGGTCAATGGATATTTTGCAATATACATATTTTGAATTTATTTTCAAACATTCACTATCAGTGATGGTTACAACTTTCTTAAATTCAACAAAACACAGGTATCACTTATAGGTACATATTTTTGGAAGTAAATCCATGCCCTTAAAGATTCCTTTGGCATTGTGAATAATAAAATAGATATCTAATTTGACTCGTTTCCAAAGGATTTGACCAGTTAACAGACTACATATTTGGTTTTATTATAAGTTGAGAAAATATGTCTGCAAACTCAAATTTGAAAAAGTTCCCTGTTAGAACTTGAGTAAATTCCAAAAGGAAAATTATTCAACATCCTTAGGCGTTTTTTTGATGATGAATTGTCACATACATATGAGGCTGTTATGTCTGAAAAAGAGTGAATATGGTGATGAAATCTCATGCACTGAAAAAAGTATTCAGAACAGATACTATACATTCAAGAAATTGTAAGAAGTGAGCCCATATGGCAAGAACATTGAATGTGTTTCACTGGATTTGTTTGTGATTTGGACTCTCTTATGATTACAGGAGGAAAAACGCCGGATTTCCAGACGAGAAACTATTCACAGATTATGAAAGAGCAGTTGCTCAAAGGTGAAGAAAACGAAGTAAGTCCTTATTCTTACCCCCTTCCTTTTTTTCTTCAAATTCATATCTATGGTTATTTTATTTCAGTTGCGTAAGAAAATCCTTGAGAAGGCCAAAGACGGTTCATTGAAAGTGACTAATGGCGAGGCCAAATCTACCCCAAAGAAACGTGGTAGATGGGATCAAACAGTAGATGAAGCTGTTGTTCCACAGAAGAAGAAAACTTTGAGTGTTTCTACCCCTAGTGCAGCCACTACTCCTGTTTGGGAAGGAGATGTAAGTGTTAGATCAGTTCATAGTTGGTGATGTTTTTTGTAATTTTTTTTTTGAAAATTCTCCACTGATAGAATTGGAATCCATCAAAATGAAATAATTGGAATACAGTTGAAAATTGAACATACCTATAATAAGAGAAATATTTCAGATGTTCCGATCAATTCTGTTTGAAAAAAACAATAACAAGATATTGCTATCACAGCAAGATTGGAAAAATGGGAATACTGATCATCAATATCCAGCAAAATGATCTGTCAAATTTTCTTGGTATTCGCCGGCGCCAAGGTCATCAGATGACGTTGCAATGATATTAAAAACTAATGGAAAACGTCTAACTTTCAATCTATGCTAGGAGATAGGTTGTTTTCCCGATGTTTTTAATGTCATTGCACCGTCATCAAATGACCTTGGCGACTGCTAATCTCGGGAATATCAATTTTGAGCTTGCTATCTCAATACAAGATTCATAATAGCAATGAATCCTTTGTTTTTGCACTACAATTGTTCTAACTGATTGAAAATTTAGAAAATTGGTGAATATTAACATATAAGAAGTTCAGTTTTATAACTAACAACTTGAAAACCTTTTCTTGTAGTTTCAATTCACAGAGGACTTATGAGAAACATTAGCAATCCTTTTTAGATGCCTGATGGAAATCTTATCAAGCTGTTTCATTTGAATAAGCCAGCAACCTGAGATCTTCTGGTTATAAGAATCCGGTTCTTTTTCCAAAAAATTAACAATTTCATCTGGCTTTTGTTTTTTGTTTATATCGGGACATGATTGATTACTTGTAGCACTTGTACAACCATGACCTATTTCACCAAATACAACAATCTGTCAATCTAAATACTATGATTATGAAATTGTCAGTACATGAGTACTTCCCTGGTACAAGACAGGCTAATTTGAGAGCTTAGGTAAACATAAACTCTTCTTCATAGAATAATGTCACTAACGATATTCAATATTTAACAAACGAGCTCAAAACTCGTAACCAATCTTGCAGTTACTGTCCAAACAGAATATGGAATTGCATAGTAATATTGTTATATATTATAATCATAACAATATTGTTAATGCAGCAATGTTATATCGAGTTCCCAACAGAATCGTCCCGAATTTTTTTTATAAAAATATCAATGAACATTTGATTGTCAAAGTTTGTTCAGTGTTACTATTAATGAGTTTGAAGAAAACATAAGTGTATTCACTTTCCCAGAAATAATAGTAGATTTATACAAATCTAGATATTTTCTAAATCTGATTTCCTTTTATAAACCCGAAATATGTTGCATCATTCATTCTGCTAGTCACTCTGACAGGAGAATAAATTGAAAATGGCGAATTTAGCTTTTATAGAAGACTAGACAATTGAATTACCTTATATACCTTATAGCAATTATATCCATTATCAAATAAGCTGAGAAATATATATGATGCAACAGTACAATTTGATTGAAATATATGTGGAATGATTTGATTACTCAGAATTGAAATGTAATAACTTTCATCTTGAGAAAAAGTATGAATTTGTTTCCACTAAGTGGAATTCAATGGTTAACATGCTATTATATTGTTATATGTGTTCATTTGTCCCTATGAAAAACAGATATGTTTCTTGGGCTTGGGGTAACAAAGACAATCGATATTCTCCTCTGAATTCGCCAAAAAATCATATCTGTTCTTCATTGTCACGATTTAAACTGAAAATCTTTCCGCAGAAAACGCCCTCCGACATCCGCTGGGACGAAACCCCCGGCCACAAGGGCAGCGAAACGCCCGGCGCCACCCCTGGCCAGTCCACCCGCATGTGGGACGCCACCCCCGGTGCCGCCACCCCTGGCAGAGACACGCCCGGCCACTCGGGCGGCGACAAGAGCAACTCGCGGCGCAACCGGTGGGACGAAACGCCCAAAACGGAGCGAGAAACGCCCGGGCACTCGAGCGGCTGGGCGGAGACCCCGCGCACGGACAGAACGGGTGCGGATCTCATACAGGAAACGCCCACTCCGGGTGCGTCCAAGAGGAGATCGCGGTGGGACGAAACCCCGTCGGCCACGCCCACGCAAACGATGACGCCGGGCGCGATGACCCCCACCACTCCGCACGGCACGCCCGGTCATTCCACGCCGTTGCTCACTCCCGGTGGGTCCACCCCTGTGGGCGTCAAGGCCATGGGCATGGCCACGCCTACTCCCGGTCATCTGGCCTCGATGACGCCCGAACAGCTGCAGGCTTACAGGTGGGAGAGGGAGATTGACGAGCGCAACAGGCCGTACTCGGACGAGGAGCTCGACGCTATGTTCCCGCCCGGGTACAAGGTGTTGCCGCCCCCCGCCGGGTATATTCCAATCAGAACGCCGGCCAGGAAGCTGACGGCCACGCCCACTCCCATGGCGGGCACGCCTACCGGCTTCTTCATCCAGCAGGAGGACAAGTCGGCTAAATACATGGATAATCAGCCCAAAGGACAGAACTTGCCTTTCATGAAGCCGGAGGACGCGCAATACTTTGACAAGCTACTGGTAGACGTCGACGAAGAATCTCTCAGTCCCGAAGAGCAGAAAGAAAGGAAGATAATGAAGCTGTTGCTGAAGATAAAGAACGGCACGCCCCCGATGCGTAAAGCCGCCTTGCGACAAATCACTGACAAGGCTAGGGAGTTCGGAGCGGGGCCCTTGTTCAATCAGATCCTGCCGCTGTTGATGAGCCCCACTCTAGAGGACCAAGAAAGACACTTGTTGGTCAAAGTCATCGACCGTATACTCTACAAACTGGACGATTTGGTGCGACCGTACGTGCACAAGATTCTTGTGGTAATCGAACCGCTGTTGATTGACGAGGATTACTACGCTCGCGTTGAAGGGCGTGAAATTATTTCAAATTTGGCGAAAGCTGCCGGTTTGGCCACCATGATATCTACCATGAGACCGGATATTGACAATATTGACGAGTACGTGAGGAACACTACGGCGAGGGCTTTTGCCGTGGTCGCTTCCGCTTTGGGAATTCCTTCGCTATTGCCCTTTTTGAAGGCCGTTTGCAGGTCGAAGAAGTCCTGGCAAGCCAGGCACACGGGTATCAAGATCGTGCAGCAGATCGCCATCTTGATGGGGTGCGCCATTTTGCCGCATTTGAAGTCGCTGGTGGAGATTATCGAGCACGGTTTGGTAGACGAGCAGCAAAAAGTGAGAACGATCACTGCTTTAGGTATCGCAGCCTTGGCTGAAGCTGCTACCCCATACGGAATTGAAAGTTTTGACTCTGTCCTCAAGCCTCTTTGGAAAGGTATCCGTACGCACCGTGGAAAAGGTTTGGCCGCCTTCCTCAAGGCCATCGGGTACTTGATACCCCTCATGGACGCCGAGTACGCCAACTATTATACGAGGGAAGTGATGCTTATTCTCATAAGGGAGTTCCAGTCTCCGGATGAGGAGATGAAGAAGATCGTGTTGAAGGTGGTGAAGCAGTGTTGCTCCACCGACGGTGTCGAATCGCAGTACATCAAGGAGGAGATCCTGCCGCAGTTCTTCAAGCACTTCTGGAACCACAGGATGGCCTTGGACAGGCGCAATTACAGACAGTTAGTCGACACTACGGTGGAGATTGCCAACAAAGTCGGAGCTTCGGAGATCATCAACAGAATTGTAGACGATTTGAAGGATGAGAATGAGCAGTACAGGAAAATGGTGATGGAGAGTATCGAAAAGATTATGGGTAACTTAGGAGCTGCGGATATCGATTCGAGGTTGGAGGAGCAGCTCATCGACGGCATTCTTTACGCTTTCCAAGAACAAACTACTGAAGACGTCGTGATGCTCAACGGTTTCGGTACTATAGTAAATCAACTAGCGAAGCGTGTGAAGCCGTATCTGCCGCAAATTTGCGGTACCATCCTCTGGCGTTTGAACAACAAATCAGCCAAGGTTCGTCAGCAAGCTGCCGACTTAATATCCAGAATAGCGGTGGTGATGAAAACTTGTCAAGAGGAGAAACTGATGGGCCATTTGGGAGTGGTGCTGTACGAGTATCTGGGTGAGGAGTACCCGGAAGTGTTGGGTTCCATTCTCGGAGCCTTGAAGGCCATCGTCAACGTAATAGGAATGACCAAAATGACGCCGCCCATCAAAGACTTGTTGCCGAGGCTCACGCCCATTTTGAAAAACAGGCATGAAAAGGTGCAAGAGAACTGTATTGACTTAGTTGGTCGTATCGCCGATAGGGGTCCAGAGTACGTTTCTGCTAGAGAGTGGATGCGAATCTGCTTCGAACTGTTGGAGTTGCTGAAGGCCCACAAAAAAGCCATACGTAGGGCAACGGTGAACACTTTTGGTTACATAGCAAAAGCTATCGGTCCCCACGATGTACTGGCTACTCTTTTGAACAACTTGAAGGTTCAGGAGCGCCAGAACCGCGTTTGCACCACCGTGGCCATCGCTATTGTGGCGGAAACCTGTTCGCCCTTCACGGTACTACCGGCCTTGATGAACGAGTACCGCGTGCCAGAATTGAACGTGCAGAACGGCGTGCTCAAATCCTTGTCCTTCCTCTTCGAGTACATTGGGGAGATGGGCAAGGATTACATCTACGCGGTGGCGCCACTTCTGGAAGATGCTCTCATGGACAGGGATTTGGTGCACAGGCAGACTGCTTGCGCGGCGATAAAGCATATGGCTCTGGGGGTGTACGGGTTCGGGTGCGAGGATGCTCTGATCCATTTGCTGAACTACGTGTGGCCCAATATTTTCGAGACGTCGCCTCACTTGGTGCAGGCGTTCATGGACGCCATCGAGGGGATGAGGGTTGCTCTCGGGCCGGTCAAGATCTTACAGTATACATTGCAAGTATGTATTTACAAAGTTTTATTTAATTTCATCTGTCCCGGTGGTATATTTACAGATGCTAGAGTATGTTGACAGCAGGGTGTTGAAATCAGTAAGAATTTGAACTAACAGTACATTTACAAATGCTTACAGATTTGAACAACAGAGGCGATCAGCGTGCTGAAACCAGTGAGCTTTTGTAGTTTACATACATTTGCAGATGCTAACTGATATTGACACCAGTGTTGAATTTTGTACACGGAAAGGACTTTTTCTAAATAATCTAACCTTACTAAGAGAGTATACTTTTTGGAAGGAGACTACTATTTCCAAACAATCTTACATCAGTCCTAAATGAACCGTTTTCCTATAAAGTATATTTGTCAACATCGATCGAGCAATTGATCAAAGGAGACTACTTTTTCTAGAAAATCTAACCTTAATCGGCCTAAATGAACCTCCTCCATAGAAAGTAAATTTTTCAGAAGTATATTTTTCGGAAAAGTCCTGGTGTCTGTGTGTAATTAAATCCACACTTCTAATAGTCCGATTGATTTGGAATTTGGCAAACTACATAATTCTGATAAAAATGCATCATGAAATATTTGTTGGAGAAATGGCGGGTGAGTTGTAATTATGACCCGATTGTATTCAAAGTTGGTATCTGGGGGTTTTTGAGGTCGGCAATTATAATTCTTCTGTCATAATTGGAAAATTCAAAATGGCGGCTCCAATATGGCCGACGTGTTTTGTAATTATGAAAAAATGTGTATCTGGTGGTTATCGGGAATGTGATTATGACTTTGCTCAAAATTGGTAATTTCAAGCTGGCGGATGTGGGGGCGAATATTTTTACAAATTTTCTTTCTTAGTGCATTTTCATAAAAGCATATCTCTAAAAATATTTTTTATAAGAGCTTGTTTTTTGATTTATCGCGGAGGGAAATTGTTTTCACTGGGTTTCATCATTGTCCTTCAAAATGAAAAAGCTAATGGGCGAGTAGATATAATATTGTCAGCTCACTGATCATGAATCCATCTGTTTCTCTGACAAAGCCTGTTCCCCCCTCTTTGTAACATAGAACAATGTTTTTTCAAATGTCTTGTCCTATTGTTAGTTGTGATTGTAATCGTTCTCTTTAATTTTCAGGGATTATTTCATCCTGCTAGGAAAGTCAGAGATGTATATTGGAAGATCTACAACTCCTTGTATATTGGTGGTCAAGATGCTCTAGTTGCTGGCTATCCTAGGATAGCAAATGATCCCAAAAATCAGTATATCAGATATGAATTAGATTATGCTATTTAGATAATAATTATTATGAATCTTTGCAACTGAATTTGCATTTAATTTGTGTGTGTAAAGAAAAGAAATATATGTGTTTAGTGATATATTACGTGTAACACCTATACAAGTTTTTCAGCATAATTATTTTTAAACACCAAAATGAACTATCAATAATTTCTTCTTGGACTTCTAGACCTGTCATAAGTTTTTTCTCTGTTGCTGCTTCTCTTTGTTTGTCTGCTTCTACTGTGGCTTCTTTCTCTGTCATTTTTTCTTGTTTCCTTGCTTCTTATTTTTCTCTCTTCATCACTGTTCCTCTTCTCCCTGATCTTTTCTTCACTTGTACTCCTTCTAGTTGAATATGTTTTCTGATCTCTTCTCTTCATTCTGGAATCACTATCAGAATCTGATTCTTCTTTCTGGTGATATCTCATTCTTTCTCTAGAGTTTCTTTCAGTTTTAATTACCCTTGTGTGATCTCTTTCAGAATTGTCAATTTTTTTAGGTCTCATCTTGAACCTCTGATTGTTCCTTTTTGTATCTTCTTCAGATGACAATTCTTCATTATCCTCAGGATCTTTTTTGCCCTTTAGTGACTCCTTCTCAATCTTTTCCAATTTTCTGGAAATCAATTATTCAAGATTTGAGCATGCAAAATGACATCCTCTATACTTTCAATATTCTGCAAAATTAGTGAGGTACCGTCATCTGAGTATATATGAAACGATTTTTTAACATATCTATGATTATTTCCGTTCTGGAAAATCAGAACATATTCACTTCATATCCTCGTGAAAAATTGGAATTGTATTATATTAGACTGTGTGATCAGTTATATGGAACAAGTGGGATTTTTTAAATTTAAAAAAAAAACAGCATTGAAATAACTGAAACAGAAAATAATACAGAGGAAATACAAAACATCATTTTATTGTTTCACTTTAAAATTCTGGGTATAAAAAATAACATTAGACTCTAGAAAAAAAAATTAAAAAAAAGCAGAAATGAGATCCTTGTCACTATTTGACATATTAAATCAGGTCACCATTAATGTGTGAATTCCTCTGCACACTAGGTTGCCAAACAATGAAATTTATGTCACTGACCTCAACTTGTGACATGTCCCTAACAGGGGGAAAAATGAACCTATTTTTTTTTTCCTCTATAATTTCTCAAAAAACTAACATTCATAATATTTTTATCAATGGAAATAATTTTTGCAAGAAATTCCTTGGATATGTTTTCATGGCATGTTGCATTTCATATAACCCTGCAAAAACTAGATTTTTTTGTTTTATACTTTTTCCCAACAAGGTTTAATGCTGGGTTTATAGATTCAACTAAACTAAGAATTAAACTAACAACTATGAACTAGAAAAGTTGAATACATGGAAACATCTATGAGGGTTTATACATTTACATCTGTCGATTAAATTAAGAATTATGAATTACAAAGTTGGCCAACTTTCAACTTAACAACTAAGAATTAGGAAATTCTGGAGACAGAACATGAAGATGGGATTTATTATTGTTCAAGTGGAGTGTGGTGATATTCAATTGGAGTATTTTTTATGGATTCATGAATTGTGGAGACCAAAATTACTTTTTAACATCATATTGATCTACAATCAAAGGACATTTCACATCTGATTTGTAATTATTATCAGATATGTATAAACACCCTCATGATAATTAATTGTTAATTCCTAATTGTTAGTTTAATTGAATCTATAACCCAGCATAATGATTCTAATCATGAAAAAATTGACAATGGTAAGTTTAGGTTATGTATAAATAATATTGTTCTCAATGAACTGAGTATGCAAGATCTATGGTATGCATGACAATGGGTTTTTGAGATTCAGATTCAGATTTCAATACTGATTTGAAGTACTTACTTTTTGGATTTTGTGATGAACAATAACACAAAAGTCAGTCTTTGGTTTATCTGCCAGACATTTTGACAAACAGGTTAACCAACATTGTGAAATTGAAATAACCAGAGCACCAAATTCAAGAAAGTACCTGATGTTTTATATAACCCTTGCCATTTCATATATACTCAGATGACAGTACCAAAAACATTAGAAAACAAAAATTAATGTTTTATATTTCTTCATCCACAAGAAACAATCTGAAGTTGAGAAAAGCTAATGATTTGTATGGCCCAGGAATCATCCAGTGAATGTGGTTATTTGATATACATAGAAATTGTCAATTTTAAATTATTATGAGAAATAAGTATGATGATCTTTCAGCACTTGAATACATTCCAGCATGTTGAAATAAGGGGTCTTCAACAGTGATTGAAAACCACATAACAGATTACTTTGTGACCAAGAATACACTCCTATAATATCTAACTTTGGTGAAAAAGATAGGCCACATCAAAAATGGTCATGTGGCACTCAATCATTGTTGAAGACCTGGTAGAAATCATTTGCCTAATTTCAATGTTCTCAATATTATTATATAATTAGCAGTATTATATTGAAGCATAAGGAATATTCAGATCAGATTTCTTCACTAAATGTGAAAAACAAATGATAGAATTTCATTTTGTGAAAATCAAGTGTTTATCACTTGATTTCCTGTGAATTATCCACTCACTTCAATAATGCCTTCTTCTGCTTCTTTGTTAGTGATTTGATGAATGTCACCTCAGAGTTCTGTTCTGCATCCTCCTTCAATAATAGATGTTTATTGACCTCAGAGGTATTCATGTGTTGTTTTTTCAGTGCCAAACCATCATCAAACATCTGTTGTACCAATGAGTTTTCATCCATGACAGTAGCACTTTCCAAAGATCTGGCAGCACTCATTGACAAACTGTACATTGGACATTCTTTATCTGAAACCCAAAGAGGCTAGAAAAAAAGGAAAAGCCCAGTCACCCAAAGGACATACCTGTATTTATGTGACCCCATTTATGACACTTGATGCATCTAACATTTCTAACTTGAATACCAAAAGGCTGATCCCTTATTTCTTGATCTCCTTTACAATAACTCTCTCTTGGAGCATTGTACTTCCTTTGCCATTCAAATTTATACTCTGGTTCATTATCTTCCCTGTCTCTTTCTTTTTTTGCTCCAGGTGGTGGTTCATACATGAAACTGATACTCAACTTATCTTTGCTATCTTTGCTGAGCATTGCCTTATTGTCATGGAGATCCTGTTCTTTTTCATACTGCTGACGGAGTTCTTCTTGTTTCTTTTTGTATGCTTCAGTTTTCTGCTCAGCCATCCATACCTGAAAAAAAAAATCATTTTTTTATATGGTGACTGTAAAAAAGATAATGAAGTTGATCTGTTTATGGGACAACAGTACTGGAAGATCATGTTAGGGACCTAGTTTTCTTACCCTTTTCAAATTATCTCTGGATGCAGGATGGAAGAATTTCTTGCACATATAATTGTTGAATCCTTTCCCCATCTTTGATTACTTTGATCTGTTGATCCAAAGACAACACCTAATGGAAAACAACACAACTACACTACCTAGGATCTTTTACAATGGCGAACTATAATATCATTAACAATTAACAAATTACTATGAAATCATGAATTGAATGATTGAAATGATTGCTGGACTGGATCATTGAATTACAAATCAAATTAGGAAGTGATTCTGATTATTATTATTAATTTTATGAACAATATAAATTTCCATGACCTTCCCATGAAATTTTGGTGAAACATCAGTCACTTGGCAGACCCACGTCAAAATAAAACCATAAACTTGGACACATAAGATCCATCAATCAGACATGAAACTCTATACATCGGTTGTACCACAGAAGAGTACTTACTGATTCAGTTCAGAGTAGTCACTCAGTAGTCGCACTTATTGTCGACCGACACCAAGGTTAGTAAAAGGTTATCAAAGCTATTTAAACTCTACAGAGTCAAATAGCCCATGATTTGATACTCCGTTTTGTTCACTGCGCAACCATAGTCATGCCAAGCGCACCAGCAGGTTGTCTATTTTATCATGATTTAACCAAAGAGGAGAGAATCTACTATTCTTTGATTTAACACTATACTATGACACAAAATATCCAACTAGACATGAAACTCTATACGTCAGTATCTTGACAATGATGGAAGTAACCATCAGAATCCCCCTTTTGAGACTCGTAAGTCTTCTGCACAACCAGAATTCACATGCGACGAGACGGTTGATGCCGGATTCGATTTAGCGATACAGAATAGGACTAAAATGTGTCGGTACCTTGAATAATGATTATAAATAAAAATCCATCTCCTGGGGCTCATGATTCTTGGATTATTAAGATGAAATGAAAATAGCAAAAATCTAACCTAACTCTAGTACTGCATGGAGTTTATAATTCTTGCATGGGAGGTACCCTTCGAAGTTTCAGCTATTCAGTGACTTGACCACGAATGACGTCTAATTAGTTTTCTGCGCGACCAAAATTCAGATGCCACGTTAGGGTGAGTTCCCAACCCAGCGTTTTTACTTTTCGTGTCGAGCGTCACGTACTTTGGTGACGCATAACTGAGAATTACTGCACTGCTTTTCATGACATTTCAGAACCACGCCAAGAAGTTTGAATATTTCAAATTTAGTCGCGTCAAAAATCTAAATTCACTTTCACCTATTGAAGTACAAGACGCGAAAAGGAAAACCGCTGCATTGGGAACTCACCTCACATGATCTGACATTTCACCCCTGATGCCCTGATTATAGATTCAATAACGAAACGTAACGCAAGTACTTCCGTTACACGAAAGAAGATGAAACATGATTTTTTCAGTACTGTTCATAGAATATCGTTCCGCAAAACACTGATCGTGACTGCAACGCGAGAGATGCCCATTTCCATCTTTGAATTATGCGCTCACCAGAATGTCAATGCATACGGATGCACGTTATTAGTACATCAAAAAAGTTTGGATGAACAGTATGAATTATAGTCCTTCACAGTTATATCATCCGCTGTTGACAGCGATTACGCGATCGTCTCGGTGGTCTGGGTGATAGTTCACATTTCGTGGTATGGACAATGACGGCTAAATATCTAGATTGTCTGACGAGTTATACTCGGTCTGGTTGACGTTTTATGTGATTTGTGAATTTTGAAGTCTGATTCTGACTGGGTTCGGACCTCCATTGCTGCATACTGCGCATAATCTGGGCTCCGTCTACACGATAGCGATCAAGAATGCTATCTGGGAGAGCCCTGCACTGATGAGAACCAACAGCTCGAAACCGGTCTGCAGGTAATCACGCGTTCTTGAACCACTTTCAGGCACAGCTCGGCGTTTAGGTGCGATTTTATTCGTCTAAATGAATTATTGCATCGATTTCGGGAGGATGTGATCTAATGTTCTGCGTGGCATATAGCCAGGAAAGTAGTTGTTCGTTTTCTCGTTATCTACCATTTTCGTTAATTTTATGAACTATTGTGCTGACGACTTTACTATGTTGTAGATCGAAGAAAAACCGTGTGAAAAATGAACCAATTGAGCCCAAAAATTGCATAGCAGCGAAAACTAGAAAAGCAATCAGCGACCGGAAATGAGTTTCCCATTCCTGTTTCGTATTATATTCAGTTCTCGATTCAGTTTATTTCGAATATTTCCTCAAAATTCACTATTTGCATTGAAAGGCGATATATCATGAAACATTTTTCGTATCCTTCAATCAATCAATCAATCATTTGAGTGTTCATTACAGTTTCATAACAATGTGAGTTCAGACAAAAATAATAGACGTGAACAATAATAGTGAAATGAAATATGCACACAGTCTTTTTCAGAAAACATGTCTCAACGGAGATTCCAGGAGGTACCCTTACGAAAGGAGAGTATCAACCCTTGGCGTCGTCGGTAAACTCTCCTTGTAACCGGGGTAGGCGCTTGATGGGATAGGTTTCTCATTTAGGAGAATTTTTTTTAAGAAGAATCATATTTCTAATGCTCCATAACAAAAATATCATGTAAATGTTGGAGACTTGGCAATATTGTGCTGAATGCTGAGAACTGACAAGTCACCGCCCACAATTCGTGTATCGTGTCGTCACGTTCACCGGTTCAAATGTCCAATAGTGTGAATTATAACATTTATCATTTACCAAAATGTATCATAAGCAATGAGCAACAACACATCATGAGGGAACATTGTGAGACAATTGATTTTTCATTGATAATAATTAGCAATATTACCAATACATAATCAAGAATTCATGAGTTATTGAATAGCTAATATTTCTGACGTTTCCAGTATTTCAACATAATATGCAGCTGTGCTGGTCTCCCCCAAGAACGATAGATCTATCGTTCTAGGTCTCCCCCTACCTACGAAATCGTTACGTCAGTTTTTACTTGCGGTGAATTTCTCGCCTTTTGAAAATTACCGTGGCATTATTAATGATTTTAGCACCATAAAATCGACCGGAAATTTTTAAAAATATATTGAATCAAAAGGTATTTGAGTGATTATCCTATTTAAGAAATAAAAGAAAAATTAGTCCACTCCCCTGTCTCTGACACTAGAGTCTAGCCATAGCACCAGTGCGAGAATATTGCGCCTGGTGCGCAGGTCGCTGGGCGCGAGAAATTGCAGCGAAACAAAAATAAATAAGTCATTGTGAAATGATATTGCGCGTCGCTCGCTGCTCGCTGGGCGCGAGAAATTGCAGCGAAACAAAAACAAATAAGTCATTGTTGTGAAATGATACATTAGACAACTGCTTTCCTAGTTGATACCATGTTACAGGGTGATCCCTAGAATCGTGACACACCTCAAATCAATTTATTCAAATTGAATTAACACTGTACGTACTGTTCATAATTATTACATATATATATATCCCCAGATAGCACGAATATTCTTACAAGCTGCGAAAATGTCATCTTCTAGAATAATATTCTGAAGAATATGCATAGAAAGTTCTCAGTATGTTGCGAATATTTATGGAATGTTCCATGCGAATATTCTGATAGTATTACATGAAAGTACATTCCTAGAAGCTCCTGGGATATAATATTCCAGAATGTTCATTAAATAATATTTTCAGAATATTGTGAACATTCATGGAATACTTTGCGAATATACTAATGATATTCTGAAAATATGTTCCAATGAGCTTCTGAAATGGAATATTCTCTAGAATGACAATGTTCAAATATACTTATTTCAGAATATTCTAACATATATAATGTCCTTAAAATGATCATAAAATATTTTCATCCTGCAACGAATATTCTATGAACATTCAATTTGACATAGATACACAAGAATATTCTTTTCGAATATTCTGAGAATATACAGAATCGTATCAAATTATGAAAATGATGTTATTATTCATGTATTGATATACAAAGTGTTCCCCTTACCAAACCCATTATTATAATGGTTGTATGCCACTAAGTGTTGAGATCTTCCCATTCATATCATTCATTAAAAAGGTCTGTAGCTCAGTGGTTAAGGTGACAGGTAAATAACTATGTAGGTTCGCAAGCCCGCACCGGAGCAAGCTTTTTTAAATTTTATTACAATAAATATACCTACCAGTAACATTCTCAGAATATCTAGAACAACCCTCTTTGTATATCCATAGACCGTTCCTAGAAAATATTCGTATAATATTCTGAGAAGGTACTTGTGTTTGCTATCTGGGTATATACATATATGATAATATAATTCCACAAAAATTCCCCCTTCCCTTGCAAAAATAATATCGCAGCGATCTAAATTAAATATATTGAAAATGGTAAAAGATACACAGTTTAAAATTTAGGTATATTAAGATAAACAAAAACAAACTCAAAATATTCCTAAAATATAAAGTGTGTTCGAAATAGGAACAATTATAAAAATGAAATTTCGAACAACAAAAAATAAAACTGAGATTTTGAAAAGAACTGAATGTTTTCGAACATTCTGCACAACAGTTCGATTGCATTTTTAAAGTGTGAAACGCTAGACTTGGAGGTCAAACGATAAATGAGTACATATTCTGGAAACAGTTCGAATGGCAACCAACAAATCTCCTTCCCGTGATACATGATTCGCCGCCAATTAAGGGTATTGGGTATTCTTTTACCAATGATGATCTTTATTGTTTCGCTCCAATATTTGTCCCGCGCCGCACGGCCGCAACCCTTCTCGCCTCGCTTCTCGCGCTCGGCGAGCGAGCGAGCAAATTAGCGTCTGCGGACAGATGCAAGTAATAACTCCGTGGTGGGAGACCGTTATAGTGGGCAGTAGATGCGACTGGCGTTATGCGGTGCCGACTGAATGACTTCATCATACTTCGTCTCGTAAGCAACCGGTTGGCTCAGTAAGCAGAACATCGGCATGCCAAGCCGGAGGGCCGGGGTTCGAATCCGTGCGAGGCTCATCTTTTTTTTATTTTTTTCTTGTTCTCAAGTGATTTCTAAAAAATATTCTCTATGGGAAATAGGTTCATTTAGGGGTTTTCTATGTTTAGGCCAGAGGTGAGGTTCGGTTAGGTTAGGTTAGAATAGAATAGAATATTTTATTTGGTGTTAATACAAGTACAGATATACTCATAAATAGTATATGTACCGCCGAAGCGAGTACATATACTAAAAATGTGGAACGCTTTACGATTTTGCGTGTCATCCTTGCGCAGGGGCCATGCTAATCTTCTCTGTATCGTTCCAATTTTTAGTATATGTACCGCCTTCTCATTTTTTATGCAGAAACAATATTTTCCTTCCTCAAGAAAAATTCTCCTTCTTCAAGAAAAAAGGTTCATCTAGGTCGATTGATTGTTAAAAAAAAATGCCTTCCTTATATTAGACTCGACACAAGTTAACTAACGTTCCCCTACCACGGAGTTATTACTTGCATCTGTCCGCAGACGCTAGTAGCGAGCAAGCAACGACATTTTCTGTTTCTCGCGCCCAGCGACCTGCGCACCAGGCGCAATATTCTCGCACTGGTGCTATGGCTAGACTCTAGTCGTTGATTGATATATTACGCTTACGCTGGGAAGATGCCCAACCTTATGGGGCAAAACGAGGTCCAAAAAAATCTCACAACTAGATGGCGTACCATAGTTCGAAATCTCACATAGTGGCGGCGATAGTGTCGAACGATGTCGGAGCAATACTTCGTAATTTGACGGGCAGGTGCGCCACTTACGAAGAGAATCTATTGGAATGCAGATGACGTGCGACTTGGAACAATTAAACAATCCATAATCCGGAACGCTTGTATCGAATCCATGATCAGTACGATTCTAACTAATATGGCGGTAAATTCGAATTTGTTAGTAATAGTTGTATTTCTTTTATTCGTCTGAGGCTTCTTACGAGCGCATCACGGACGTGAGATCATGAAAAAAGTTTATAGAAATTGAATTGGAGTGAATCACAAAATTTAATGTCTCAACAATAATTGCTTCCATTTTTGGCGATTGTGGAATAAACTGGTCAGCGGATATCAATATATAAGCTGCTCATAAATTTGATAGAAATTCACGAACCCGGACCAGTGTTGTCACCTTAGTGTATTTCACCCTAGAACTGAATCTAAATGGGTCTGTTTGAGTGGAATTTCATATTTCATTATGTCGAATTACTGAATCAAACGATAATTCACTGTCAAAAATCATTTTCTTGTCAGAGCTATGTACAATTTTTTAAATTTTTATTATTGAAATTACCTCGGAAATTACTGATATTTATCACATGAAAAACGCGGAATATTGCGTGACAATTCTATACCGCTATCAATCCAAAGTATTTAATACTGTGATATGATCCGACCTATGTATTGCCGAAACTTGGAGTGCCAATAATTTCCTTTGATTTTTGTGGGGCGGCCGACTCGGTGCGTTTGTCGGCGATAGGGCTGCCAAGCCGTCCTTTGTCGCCCTAACAACACAAGTACATCCTAGGGACTTCCCAGGGACGTCCCTAATTTTATACAAGGACATCCCCCAGAGATATCCTTTGTCGGGACATCAGCTGGCTGACAAAAAAAGCATCCAAGGTATTTCCGTCGGGTACGTCCCTGGGATGTACCAAGTACGAAGAAAGGATATCCCTAGGAGGTCCCAAGGATATTCCAGAGACATCCCTTCGACAAAAGAAAAAAATGTAGGTCGAGTAGGGCTTGAACCCGGGACCTTTAGCTTTTTCAGGCACGCACCTTACTCCATTGGCTGATATGCCTTCTGAAGATTTATGTACCAAACAGATTTTTAAACAGGACCAAACTGCAGAAACCTGAATAAATACAACTTTGTTAGGATTTGGGTATAATTATTATCATTCGTGGATGTTTAAAAATGAAGGGCATTATGCATTTACGAATTCTGTTTGAGAAAAATGGCCATTTCTTGAGAAGTTCTGACTTTCTTTATTTTCATTACAATCATTTACCGAAAAAAAACCAAACATGTTCATAAAAATTCAACACAATAATTTGATGAAAGTCAATGACTCTGATGTGAATAGATATCAGATATACCAAGGACACGAATTGGATAACCTATAGATGTGCGGGACATTCCCTGGATACCCCAATTATGTCCTTGTACCGTGTGACAAAGAGGGGAAGTAGCTAGTACATCCCTGTGTTGTTAGGGCGGAGATTCTGAGCGTTCCGTAGTCTGTACTCCGTTGTTCTGGAGCGGCAAAATCGATTCTACTCAGAAAAAGTTACTGGTATCACAAAATATCAACGCCGATTTCATGATTATATTTTATATTATATCGTGACATATAGACTGGAAATGTAGCTGTTTTCTGTTGATTTTGTTTTTATCTCTTCAAATATACCAAAAAAGAATTCATATTTTTCAACAACTAGATACAGTAAAAAATGGTACATAAGCTTGCAGCATCAACTCTTGTAATCCAATAAATAAATGAATTCTATATATGTTCCAATAGTTATGACTCACTCTGTATATTATGCCTATTATAGATGATGTATTTTATTTCATTTTTATAGTGAACCATTAACAATCAAAGATTCTAAGATATCTGACTATTTATTTTCGATCTACTGATGAGACTCTAAGAAATTATCACAATCAGATTGATTATATTTTATTATCAATATTTTGTAATGTCTTATTAATACAAAACTTTAAAATGGATACAAATTGAGTAGAAGAAATAATCAACGAAAAAGGCGTGAGATGTTTTTCCAGATAATATACAAATTACATTGGTCTAGGGTCTAGGCAAAGTATGACAAGTTATTCACAAGGGAATTTAGAAAAACGCCACGGAGTAGGAACCCAACTGAGTGAGAGATCATAATATGTTCTTCTCTCTTCCGCAAGGAACCGAGGAAAAAATCAATACTGTCCATGGGATTCACCGACCGTAGCAAACATTTTTTTATCGGAACCGGTCGGGCGGGTCGGCGTAAGCGTAATATATCAATCAACGCTCTAGTGTCTCTGACATGTGATCATTGGCATGTGACCTACATCGTGCATGTGACATAATTCATGTGACTTCTGACTTAACTTACCTTTAATTGAGGTTATCTTATCAGTATATTATTTATTATTTTACAGACTTTTCAGTTGATTTTTGAAATTATTGGGTGAGTTTTAACATCTTGAGACAGTATTTCAATTTTCCGAACATTTCAAACCTTACAAATTATGAATTGATTTCCATGTAATGGTTTCATTATCTGGAGGTTTATCTCAACCAAGACCAACCAAGGTCTCAACTTTATCTGTATATTTGGTGAAAAATTTAAATCAATTTGGCAATGATAATCATAATATGATCGCACAAGGATGATCGCATCATTCATGGATAGTGAATTAGAATCCCACAGAAAAGAAATGGATATCACAACAGGAGTTGTGCCGTCTACTACAACCACTTCTGACTTTTATCTTGGATTGTGCTTAGCAGTAAGCTCCTCATTATTTATCGGATCTAGTTTCATAATAAAAAAGCTGTCATTGATTCGTCTTAAAACAAAAGGGCATGTAAGAGCTGGAAGTGGTGGTTTTGGATATCTAATGGACTGGATGTGGTGGCTAGGATTACTAACCAGTTGAGTTACTTTCCTTTTCTGAGAAAAAAACTTATAAAATGATAATGCATGGTGTTTTTAGTGGGACTTGGAGAACTTGCTAATTTTACAGCATATGCTTTTGCTCCAGCTTCTTTAGTAACCCCATTGGGTGCATTAAGTGTTCTGGTGAATGCAATATTGGCCTCAAAATTTCTCAAAGAAAAACTCAATAACTTGGGCAAGGTAAGTTTTAATTTCACTCAAACTATGGAATAATAATTCCCAGAATAATTCCTCATTTCAATCTGTGACTAATTTTGATTATTTAGTTCTTCTATTTGTACAGGACCAATTTGTTATTTTGTTTTTCACAATGTCATATCTTTTAGTTGGGTTGCTTTCTCTGTCTTTTGGGGTCAACTATGATAGTAATTCACTCTCCAAAAGAAGAACAAATAGATAATCTTCAAGAACTCTTAGAAAAGGCAACAAACACAGTATTTATCAGATATGTTCTGACAATAGTTATTGTATGCTCCATCATATTCTGCTATATTGGTCCACATTATGGTAGCAGATATGTAGCAGTATATTTGATACTTTGTGCAGCAATTGGTAGTCTCACTGTCATGTCATGCAAAGGTTTAGGATTAGTAATAAGGACTATATCAGGTGAGGTTGAGTTTAGTGTTTGCTTTAATATTTGAATAAAAAGTTCTTATTGAATGAACAATGGTATAGTCCAACAAATAGATATAAGAAACATAAAAAATGGTGATTTTTTATGTCAGGTGGGTCTCTTTCAGGTTGAGCCAACAGCACATGTGCTCATTCCTCTTCTCTTGTGTAGGGGAGACGGAGAAAAATTACTTTAAAATCTATTACATGTTGGAAAGGATAGAATTTAAAATGTTCCTTTGATATACTGGGTAATAATAATCCTGATTCTCTAATTCAAGAACTTTTTTCATTGAATGTCAAGAAATATTCACATCTCCCATCAATCAAGTTTGACAATTACACGATTTTTTCACTTTCTGACGGGCGGCAGATGAATAACTGACAGCTAAGTTAGGCAAGCCAAGGTTAGTTTAGTTCATTGTACCAGCATTTCACCTGATAAAGCTACTGTGTTAGCAAAACATGTCATGTGATCACGAATTTTGTGGAATCTTACCATTCGTGAAGTTTTTATGATTGTACTTTTATTTACAAAAGCTAGCAGAACTTCCAGCAGAACCCATGTTTTTTGGATAAATCGGAGAGCTATAAATTCGGCCGTATGGTTATAAATTAGCTTTAAATTAGCCTTGAATTATGGCCCAATAAAAAATTGAAAGTGGTTCTGCTAGCATCATGGATTTCAGTTATTTTGAATCTATAATGATCAGATAAATGATAATTTCAGTTATAATTACAAGACTCATTCGACTCCTGATATGAATTTATTCTTCAGGGTTTTACGTTCCTCATGTCATATCTAAATACAAATTCTATAATGATCTTGGTATACCTATACATGACCTATACCTAATAGATATATATATAAAGTCGATTTACCTAACGTCGTGAAAATGACGTTTCAAATACGTTAAAGAAATGACGTCATAAATCACGTCATCTTCACCAACATGACGTCGCGGATAAAAAATTATCAAAAAAGTACATCAAAATGACGTCAGCTTGCTGCCTGGATAGTTTGCCCTTTTTACTATAGCTAAACTAGCTGACATTTGTAGCTCCATCAATTATTACCAAATTGGCAAATAGTATACCGACTTTCTTCTGAGAACTCTATTGCTATTATTATAGGTATACTTAATAAACTTCTATGATACATGCCTATACCTATACCTACCTACTTATTGATATATCATCAAATACACCTATCTCCAGTCCTACAAAGCATATTGAAAAAATTATAAACTACTTACCTACACCAGTAAACCTACATCGCCGACATCAGCAGGAGTTTAGAGGAACAATCTATCATAATTTTTACAGACCAAAAAGCATTTTCATCACTAATTTACTGCCCAGATATATTATTTTTTAATTTCACATTCAACTCTGTATGCTCTAATTGTTGTTAATATACGGATCTCTTCTATATTCATCAATGATTCAAAATTCTAATAGGTGTTTATCGTGGTGATTATGTTCAACACTGAACAAACAATAAATTGGCGCTCTTTTAGAGGAATTCTGTTAGTCAAGGACATTCCTACGTTCGGGTGAGTTCGCCTCCTCAGAAGGTGCTATCCCTAGACTCTAGAAGGTTTGTTAATCTGTGGTCAAAGCAGTGTTGTTCTTCTCATTACTTTTGTAATAGATCTATTACTATTCCACGGAGATTGTTACGATATTACGATTTGTCATGAATCTATTACTATTCAAAATATGTTTTGCTAAAAAATCTATTTCTGTGTTCAGCGGATAATTATGTTCTGCTCTATGTTCTATATTTATGTCATAAGTTCTGTGTGACTTCAGCCTCAATTCCTGTCAAAACTGTCCAAAGCTTTGTTTATTGCTGGGCGATTTTGGCTTTGGCTATGAAACGTGTAAGGTTATTATTAGTCGATGTGGCTACTCAATTCGAATCGAACAATAATAACATCACCAAGTTCCATCGCTAGCATCGCCAAAGCCGAATCGCCCAGCAAAAAACCAAGCTTAATTTGTGCGATATGGTTTGACAAGAAATTCAGAATGTCAAATGTCAGATTTTTCGAATCTATTACCTTTGATACAAATCTGTTACCATTTTCCAAGAAAATCTATTACGAAAAAATCAGACGCAGGAACAACACTGGGTCAGACGTCAGAGTCGGTCAGACTGTCAGTAGTGTCAGTGTCAGTACTGAGTGTTGAGTGGAAGAAGAAATATTCAAATTTCAAATTCATCAGTTTTCTAACTGATAAACTCATGTACTGAAAATTATTTGAATTCCAATGAACATTTAATATCCACGTAATAATTCTTGTATAGTCTCAGGACTGAGCTCAGAATAAATTATACCATAATGTCAGAAACAAGTGTTGATAACTCTGCAACTAAAGATCCTTGTTTGTCCAAAAATTTAAAGGGGCACACAAAAGCAGTGTCAGATATATCCTTCAATCCACAATCAAATAATCAATTTTCAAGCAGTAGTGAAGATCACACTGTAATGATATGGAATACTAACCAGCATGTGAGAAGTTATAATTTTTCTGGACATACTGATACAGTAACAAGCCTAGAATTTTCACCTGATGGTAAATTGCTAGCATCTTGTTCCAAAGACCAAACTGTTCGCTTATGGGTTCCCACTATCATGGGTGGAACACATAGCTTCAAAGCACATACTGCAACTGTGAATACTGTTAGTTTTTCTCCACATAATGACAAGATTATAACTGGTGCAAATGACAAATCAGTGAAAGTATGGGACTCTTCCACAAAGCAATTTCTGTCTAGTTTTCTAGGCCATACAAACTGGGTGAGGTGTGCTAAATATTCTCCTGAAGGTAACTTTGTTGTGTCTGCTGCTGATGACCATACCATAAGAATATGGGATACAGGAACAGGTAGATGTGAACATATGTTTACTAGTCATAACAGTAGTCCCAGGTACATAGCTATCCATGAGAACAACAAAACTGTAGCAGTAGCCATGGATTCTGGGTCAGTTCGAATCTATGACTTACAGAATAAGAAGTTACAACAACACTATGTTCTCCACAGTGGTTGTACAACTTGTGTGTCTTGGCACCCTATGGCAAATTATTTTGTGAGTTGTGGTACTGATGGAAAGATTCAAATTGTTGATGTAATGGAAGGCAGACCTTTGTATACATTAAGTGGACATATTGGAGAAGTCTCTACCTGCAAATTCAATATGGATGGAACATATTTCGCATCTGGTGGTATAGACACATATATCATGATGTGGGAAACACATTTCACAAGTCTCTGATCTGATCATACTATATTATGATGTACACTATACTTAGGACCCAAGTGAAAATTGGAATGAAATATTAAAAGTTTGTGATTTGAATCTCTAATGTACTATTATTTTGGAACTTGTTGCTTGGATTTAAATTCTTGTAGAATCTAAGCATGCTTTCTATTGTACTTCTTTAGTCCTTCACCACTCTACAATAAGTGCCACATTCCATATCAGCCAGATCATGTCTGATGATGAATCACATTCTTGCATACACTACATCTCTTCCTTTTTATAAAATTATGATTTTCAAAGTAAGTATATCAATTTATATTCTAACTAGTAGGTATAATTCCATATTCCATTAATTCCATACCATTAATTCCAAGGATAGGAATATATACTATTATTCTGAATATTTATTGGGATTTCAGACATGAAAAGGCACCATATGTTTTGTTTAAGTAAAAAATAAGTGACATAATTTGACCAAGCATTCAACTTGATTTAATATTTTTGAGTGAATATTTGAGGAATTATGATATTGAAAAATAACTAACTATAATTTAGTCCGACCCTGGTTCTAAAAACGTGTAGATGACTTCCGACCATCTACAAAAAATGTCAAAAGGATTGCGCCTTCTTTTTTATGTTTCATATAAGTATTTGTTCTACTATAGGTATATGTTTTAAATACACAAAATTTTTATGTGTTCATCATCATCATCATTCATGTAAAAATATGTCATATAAAGAGGAAGAAACCAACTAGTACCATTAGGATAGAGAAGTAGATAGGTACCTAGAACTATTAAAAAAAAAGTTCACAACAGGTTATTGAGGAGACCCATGTCCCTATTTCAAATCATGATGGTGGATTTACTTCAACTACTGAAAATGGCAATATTATGGTGTGGATAGAAAAACCAAGAACACATTTGATTTCTTCACGCAAATACTTTATTTTTCAAAACAATTGAAATTCTTCTGGAAGATACATTTTTCTATAAAAATTGATTATCTTGAAAACTGATTCAGATTAAAAATTGTGAAGATCAATTAATTATCTTGAAAACTGATTCATATAGGCATATAAAAATCCCAGTAAAAGTCATATTACAAGTTAATGAAACCTTCAACACCATTTGAGACGAATAATTTATATTGAGAAGGAATATTCTCAGATAAATCAGAAACATGAAAAAAATGGATATATACAGGGTGGAGACTTCAACTGTGGGGGAGTGAATGATTTTTCTGAAAATTCGCGAGACACGTCAACGTTTAATAGCTATTTGTGTATTTAGAGCGCAAAGTGATAGATTGCCGCTCGACAAAGAAAGTTACCGCGCGATGCGGAGCGCGGTAATCTTTGGAGAGCGGCAATAAATAACACTTTTTACTCGAAATACACAAGATTTTTTCTACTAACGCAGCTTCTGGAAATGACTACCCTGAAAGTATGAGCGATTGAAATAGTTGAAAAAGTTGTTATCCATATGTCCAAAAGAAACAAAAAAAGAAAAATTGAAATAACGGACAAGCCAGAAAAAAATGTCGGGCCTATCGAGAATTGAAACTGGACCACCAGCGTGGCAACCTGAGCTTCAGACCTCTGGGCCATAGTACGATAAACTCTGCAATCAAATTGAACATTACTCATTGATGCAATAAAATAAAGATACACTGTCTTTCTGATGACAACAAAGAGTTTAAATATAAAGTATAATTCATCGTTTTCCACAGATATGCTTCATCGGGAGCTTCTTGTAGAAATTTGTTGGTATATACCTTCAGCGGTGAATGTTTTGGATTTTTCTCGCTTTATATCCAATAGATTGTTTCTTGAGAAATGCGATAAGTTTCATATACTTATTGATTCCGATATTATCTTTAACATTCAAGCATGTATACGTACCATCGAATATATAGACCAATGAATTGATGACTTCAAAGTCTGTGATTGTTCACCAAAATAAGCCAGTAAAACGTTTTCTGAATACATATTCACCGTCTCGGAGTGGCACCAATTTATGAATGTATCATATTGTAATCCATATTTCTTCCTTGATTTCTTCGGTAAGAGATTCAAACTCTTGCGCTTTCTGCTATATCATCAGGAAGGAGGTGTGTGTTTGATGATTCACTGTCACTATTTTCCATCATGAAAGAATTGGGGGTTTTCAAGAATAGATAAGTATAGGTTACAGAGATGTGCGAGCGTTTTTTCAATATTTCCGCTCACGAGCGCAAATGCTGTCAAAGAATGACATTTCTGGGAAAACGTCAACTTTGTGTCGTAATTTGAAAGCGTCAAAGGCGTTTTAAGCGTTTGTAGAAAAATGTATTTTCCGCAAATCGCTAGGAAATTTTGACATTCCTGTCAAAATTTCTTGAAGAAAAAGTCAGGACTTCCTTACTGTAAGGAAATGACATTTCCGTACAGTTGTTAGTGTTCTACATAAATGATTGAAAACACATTGCTTATAAGGAATTAATTTATATTTTGAAAACATATCAAGTCATTGCTGAATACATTTTCAAAATCGATTTGTTATATTTACAGTAATTTGACAGTTAGTACAATTATTGAACATTTGAGAAACACTGTTGCTTGCGCCTCGACTAGCAATCTTCACAGTCGCCCAGGAATGTTAAGCTTTTCCTACCCGGTAAACCTTACCTGCATTTGGTGAGCAATATGAAGAATTCACCTCTAACCAATTTATTCGAGTTGAAGTATCCACCCTGTTTATAGAAATGCATTGAGAATTCGCATTCTCTGTGAGATGAAAAAATCATTTATTTCTTGGTTTATTCAACAGGAAACAAATTCATATCTTTGAAAATAAATTGAGATAGGTAGAGAGAAATCATATCATAAGTAGTTTATGACAAATCATCTCATTTCACTCCATTTGAAAAACAAGACTTTCAGGCTACCATAATATCTTGAATTCATTCTTGCTTTCCATTTTTGTTCAAATTTGTTCATATCCTGTTTATTTCTAGTAACTCATATCGCAGCTTTCAAATAAATTCATTAGTTAATTAATTCAACTGTTTACCTATCTACTGATAATTGCATTTTTTGTCATTGAAAGTATCGTTAGAAAAACTACATATTCATTCAATAAGAATATCTTACTAGTATTCCAAAATAACCATTTTATTCAATCAAATTATGAATATGTTTGATTTTCAGTTTCTTCAATACATGGTCTTCCAAATCTATGGGTACCAATCAGTCTATGTCTTACAGTCATAGTTTGTATATGCATTCAAATTACCTATTTGAATAAGGCACTTGATCTCTTCAGCACAAGCAGAGTGACTCCAATATATTATGTGCTATTTACTACCCTAGTGATAATTGCCTCCTCAATTTTGTTCGAGGAATGGCGGAAAATGAAAGAAGTTGACATACTGGGTGCTTCTTGTGGATTTTTCGTAACGGTCGTTGCCATATTCATGTTGAATGACTGTAAAGAGGGACCTGTCATACCCTTTCAAATGCGACAAAATCCAACTAAACACAATAAGTATGGCTTGGTTAGGTCAGGTTGATACTTCACACAATGATGGAAGTAAGATATGGTGTGCGTATTCGGCGATTATTACATATTGAAAATTTCAAAAAAATCACTCGACCGGCCTACTATGATTTCTCTACGTCACAACGAGCGAGACGTTGATTCTACATTTTTCCGCTAGATGGTGATGCTGCTATTGCTGCTGTGACGAGTGGAAATGAAATGGCAAACACCATTTTAGGTACGCGGGACATATGTAACAGTGGGATTAAACAACTCTGAATAAGAAAAATCTGCGAAAGTTTCAAAACTGACAGAAGTCATAATTGTGCAATGTCGCCATCTATTAGAAGATCAACGGAACCATTGCTCTCGCTGCTCTCGAGAGGTCGAGTAAAATTTCTGAAACAAAAGCGCATCAGTAATTACACCATATCTTACTTCCATCAATCTTCACACCAAAGAAAGCTAGCAAAGCCACTTTCGAATTTGAACATGACATAATTTCATGATTTTAGGCTCATTTTAGACTAATTTATTAAAGTATATCCAATATCAATTGCAGAATAACCCGCACTGTGCAGCGTCGGCGTGTTTGAAGTTTTCTTTGAAGTGACTGCAGGTGCGGCACAAGATTCTGCAATTGTTTTTGGATAAACTATACCTACCTTATTCCCAATTTTCTTGCTCCTCTTTATGACAGAAAAATCTGTGGCTTTGCTAGCCATTCCACAATCAATTCTGACACTTTGCCTTATAAAATCGTCATGAAATATGATCTTGATAGAAATGCATGATTTATAGTGAATAACGCGTATATCGACGAATCGTTTCGTGTTTTTTTTTGTTCGAAAAGTTGAGAAAAAAATTCTAAAATAGGGTGATTATTAGCTTTAAATTTGCCATTTAATCTCAATATATCAAATCGGTGAAAAATCAATGTATTCAAAAATGGTTCTGGTGAGTTCAGTCGAAGCTAGCAAAGCCAAAGATTTTTTTATGATAGAGAGGAGCAAGCAAATTGGGAATAGGGTAATAAATCAGCCTAAAATGAGCACTACATTTTCACTATATCAGATCATCAAAACATATTATTTTTCAAAAATGGCTTTGCTGAGTTCGGCCGAAGCTAACAAAGCCACAGATTTTTCTATGATAGAGAAAGTGGCTTTGCTAGCTTATTTAATTTTGGTACTGATACTTCTATGTTAGTGACTGTCTCCGTTTGTGATATTAGAAGCATAGTAATAATTATGGAATGTGAAATATAATTTATTATTTATTAAATAATGAGTCTTTTTTTATAACATATTCGAACTTATTCTTCAAGAAGTGATTCCAGTTTCCATTGGAATTCAGGATGATATGCTCTGCTTGTCTGTCAATTCCAAATCGTTTCACAAACATGCCACATATAATGTATCGCTTTACCTCCATATGAAAGAATGGGACACTTTGTATATTTGAATATACAGGGTTATTTCATTGGAAAAGGGACATACGTCAACAGTAAATAGGGTTTACCATAATTTTACTCTTTCATAACCAACAAGTAGGGTGTTTTTTGATAGTGCAAGGAAAATAATATAATATGTGTATCATTCCTCAGTGAAATTTATGGTATGTTCATAACCACCTCACTACCTCAGTTACCTCTACTATTGAGGTATATAGGTTTGGAAAATTGGAAATAAGTGATCCATATTTATTCAATATATAATTTATTTGAATCTAATCACAATACTCACTAAGTTTTACGAGTCGAACAAGTTATTGTAGGAAGCATCATTATCAAAATTGAATACGTCAACTACAAAGAAATGAATATTGATACCTTCCAAACTCATTTATAAGAGACCAAAATGGAACTCATGGTCACAAAATTCAGTCAGTTATGAAAAAAATGATCTCATAATTTGAATAAATCACAGTCTTTGAGGTTAGATTAAAATATTCTGATTCAAATAAAGTAATCTCTAAAGTCAACAAGTTGTATTCGTTTTTCACAACATAATATATTTTCTTTCTACTCGATCCATTTACTCAGGATGTCAAAACCTTGACGAATTCTGAAAAATAATAATAAGTATTCATGTTATGGAATGTTGAAACATTGATAATAGCTTTCAAAAAATGCATGCTCTGTTCTAGGACACAATAACGGCTATTATAGTCCTCATAACTAGAGTCCGACCAGATTTACTTTGGGACAGCACGTGGTCACGTATGCATTGAATCACGTGGTATTCAGAAGTTAACCTGGTCGGACTCTATACTACTCTATGATCAGTTTTCAATGATCTTTCTTCTGAATGTCTAGATGAATTCGAGGACGTACTTCAGAAAGATCCATGTAGATGGCGGAACATCAGTTTTGTCGAATAAATCAGTTTCGTTTTTGACACAATTTTTATCTCCTTGAAGCAACATACTAATCACAATTCAAATTGTTGACTATTAACCCATCACCAATTTTTCACAATATACTATGTTTTGCCAATTTGATGAATCAGAAGTTACGCCATCTGGGGGATTTTCTGATAAGGATGTCCAATGATAGATGATAAAGGTGGCCATTTCATCAAGAACTTTGGACGACACCCGTTTCTATATTCATTAGCTACCACAGAACAATCACAGAATTATTACATTGATTCTGCTAGCTACACCATACAGGGTCCCGCCGATTTAATAAGGACAGTATTGCTATTTCCTAAGCGGTACCTAAGAAAAAGAAAGTTACATAATTTGAACCCCCCATTCAATATGACATTCTGCAATTTGGAAGAATGTCACTAATTAATCACGAAAGTTGCATGGTTAATCACTGAAAATGATAAGGAGAATTTTACCAACAATTCCAACTTCTTTGTCATGATTAATTACCTATTTACTAAATAAAATTCCAAATTTCTCACTCTAACATCAACCAAGCAAATAATTGACAACGAAATCAGTGATTTTCATTTTTTTTCAAAATATTTCAGGAACGGCTGATATTTTTCCAAATTGCAAAACGTCACATTGAAGAAGTTCAAACTCCGCAACTTTTGTTTGATTTAATCAACTTTCCATCTTACCGTTGTCCGGGTAGGAAAAAGCAATACTATCCCCATCTAATTTGAAATTAAGCTAACATTTCCATAAATATTTCACCTTCATAGTTTATTCTACCATCCTTATCGGTGTCTGCCACTTCGATGGCATGATCAAGTTGATCTTCGGTAATCTCTTCGCCTATCATGTCCATTGCAATTTTCAACTCTTCCCTGGATATGAACCCATCACCATCCAGATCGAAGACTTGGAAAGCTGCCGTCAAGTCACCTGTGAGGTCTTCGTCTACATCTCCATGAGATGGCTGCTGGATTTGCTTGATGAAAGTCAGGAAGTCATTTTGATCTATGATATCGCCACCTAGAGAACAGAAAGTGAAGAACTGAAAGTCCTTTACACAACATTTTCAAATGCAAGTGCCATAGAGAACAGTGAATTGAATCCTGCCGAAATCTATGAAATCATTCATATAAATGAATACTGATGATATACTTGCATTATCATTCCTTAATTACGAATGGTGTTTGAATTGTAGCCAGGTAACGCTTGACCACCTGCCGGCTTTGAGCTATTGGCTTGGCCCTCATCAGTCTTTTTTTTTTATCGCTTGAAGCGCACGAAAGGGAATCCCTATAATGTTCAGAGAACATCGTGCGTTCCTAGGGAGGATAGGGACAGGAGGTAGGTATTGGAATTTTTTTTGAACTTTTGGAGATTATATGTTGTTGGGAATACTTCCACAGGCAATGAATTCCAGAGCCTAGCCGTTCTATGGATGAAGGAGTCTTGATAAAGTGCTGTTCGACATCTTTCGAGGTTGACAACGAAAGGATGTGCTGACTGGGCTTGCCTAGTTCGTCTGATTGGTATTGCTAGTGAAGGGATGATAGCAGAGATTTCCGAAGAACATTTCCCGTGGAAGTATCGATAGAAAAGTGACAGGTCGCCGACCTTTCTACGGTGTTCCAATGATGTCAAAGAGTGAGTGAGTGTGGCGTCACCCACCAAGCGAATGGCTCTTCTCTGGATGGAATCTAAGAGCATCAGCGTATGTTTTGGTGCTGAACCCCATATGTGGGAACAGTATTCTAGAACAGGCCGTATCTGCGCTTTGTAGATCATGAGAAGCTGTTGAGGTGTAAAGTAGCTTTTCGCGCGGAACAAGAATCCGAGTTTTTGTGAAGCAGCTTTTGCGATGGATCTGACATGATTATCCCATGAAAGAGTGTTGCTGATGGAAATACCGAGCATAGATATGGTAGGCTTGGTGGGGATGGTAGAGCCAGACATTACAATATCGGGCATACTGAGTTCCGCCTTTCTAGAGAAAATGCAGGCTTGCGTTTTGGTGGCGTTGAATTCAACTAGGTTGTTGGTTCCCCAGGCTGTGATTTCAGCAAGATCTTCATTGACAGCATTGACCTGCCTGCGCCGTGAGTTCTTAGTTTCCTGGGAAGAGATGGGAATTCTGGAAGAGAACGCAGTATGGAGGGTACTATCATCTGCAAAGCTGTGGATGGGGCAAGTTGTTACTCCCAACAGATCATTGATATGAAGCAGGAATAAGGTTGGTGCCAAAATTGATCCTTGTGGAACGCCGGAATTGATGCCAATGGTATCAGACGATACACCGTCCACCACCACGTGAAGCGATCTGCCTGAAAGAAAACTCGATAAGAGAGTCTCCAAACTATCATTCATGGCATCGACTTATATCACGTGGTGTTCGAAAACATGATGAAGAGTGAGTGAGATATATATGAACAGGTGCTGAATGCGCATGATCCTGGGGACCGTGTGTATTGTAGTAAATATTGTTTTTCTCCAAATGACATAAAAAGAGGCTTTTCAGCCTGACACTTAACAGGCATAACAGGTATACTTTTCCTGCCTAGGCCGAAAAAGTTTGTTGCTATATGCAACGTTCTAATAAGTAATAATTTGAATCAAATTGTTAATGAAAATTGACAATTACTTTGCGTGAACACAAAATATGATGGATTATTTGGACTTTGCGTGAAATTGGAACACATTTGGAGAAAAAATTATGTTATGATGTTGAATTAGTAAAACAAACAACTATTCCATTTGCCGCTCTCTGCTCATGTTATTTACAACAATGAAGCGACCGAACGTTCACAGTTTATTGATCTTCAAATTTGTTTCAATTTCACGCAAAGTAAAAAATAATCCATCATTTGGTGTTCAAACAAAGTCATTCTCAATTTTGATTACCAATTTGATTCATATTATTACCTGAAACGATGCAAAGCAACAAACTTTTTCTGCCTAGGCAGTAGGAGTACAACTTTGGGTGAACACAAAATGATGGATAATTTGGATTTTTGGAACGAATTTGAAGAAAAATTATATGTTCAGATGGCAGAAAAACCTTTTGTAATGGTTATTTTTGTATCTAGAGCGCAAAATGCTACTTTGGTGATCGAGATCTGATGATGAAAATAGTCGAGATGACCAAAGTATTTCGCGTTCGAGTTCCAAACATTTTTTCTACAAACGTCAAAAAATATAGTTCTAAAGTAAAAATATACTCAGCTCATACTATATATGAAAAATAGTGTTGAACTTGCTTGAAAGGCCTCCCCCTATCCTCCCTAGGTACGCACGATGTTCCACGAACATAATAGGAATTTCCTTTCGTGCGCTCCAAGAGATAAAACAAAGTTATTGTTGAACATTCAGAAATAAATGATTTCGTGGATGTTTGCTCGATTGAGGACCATAAAGTTGAAATATAAATATCTCATATATTTTACATAACAGTGCGCGAAGTAGGTACTTCGCGCACTGTTTTACTTCGCGCATTGTTTTGTGCAAGGCTTCGATCATACAGTGCAAGGTATCATGGTAACGTAGGAAACTGAAAAAAAGTGTCACTTCGAAATTTGTTATCAATGCGCGAACCTCGTCGTTTTTTGACGTTTTTAGAATTTTTTTTTTACAATATAGGACCGTGGTACCTACCATTTATCAGTACTATGAATAAGGATTTTATTCATACCTGGTTGAAAAATGTGCAAAAGATACAATCAAAATTACAGCTAAATGAAAATACAATTATTTTGTTCTAATTCAATGCTGAGCTAACAAATATTCATTTGACAATCTGAAGGAATAATTTAATTGTTATCAAAGCCACCCCAATAACTTCTCAGCATTAAATTAGAACAAGATAATTATTGTATTTTCTTATTTTCAGGATCTTTTGATTTTGAAAAACTGTTGATTTTTTGAATTTTGAACGAAAAAAATATAATTGTCAATCTGCGTGGTATGTAACTAAATAAATAAAACACTTTTTTCAGGCACGTGGTCAAAAAACAAGATAGGTACAACTCATGAGAATCAGTGCAATTCAAACTTAGATGGCAATAAAGTATTGGTTATGAATTTTTTTTCACTAACTCAAATTTGAAGAACCCATCTCGATTGAAGAAACTAGTAATATGAATTTCATAATTTTTTCTGGCTTTCTCTCATCAAAATGTAAACTTCGATCATCAATCATCAGTGATAAAGGGGAAACTTTTGAAAAAAACATTGTATACGTATTTTTAATTTTGTGTGTGAATCGAACTTTTTTCAAGCTTTTTTATTTGACGAGATATTCGGATTAAATGTTAAATGTTTTAAAATTGACACCCTGTGTATACCTGAATGGCTGGCGCCTCTGATTATTTCTTCAGCTTTCTCATACTTGATTTCTATTCCTAGATTATTCAACATTATTTTCAATTCGCCAGGGTTAACTTTTCCATCTTGATTTCTATCCAGTAAGTCGAATGCAGTCTTCAGTTCTGAAACATGATAAACATTATGGAACTTCTGCACAGTGAAAATATTCGAAATATTTTGACAATTTTCGAATGTAAAAATAATCTGGCAAGCATCCAGATATTTGATAGCCTCATCAAAAACAAGTTTATGGTCCTTGGGGAATATTTTTGAACCCAATAACTAATTACACATACCTATGCGACCCTAACCTTAGAGATGATGATTCATGAACAGATGGTGGATCAAGCGTGTCTATGTGTCCAATGATAGACCACAACATGAGTGAAAAAATTATAACGGGTGGTCACAAAAAACCGGAAGTTTTTATTTTCCTCGTGGTTTCATCATTTCTCAACCGAATTCGAATTTCTTGGCGTCCTTTCATAGCTAAAGGGCTATAGTATTCAGAGGAATATTTGAAAATTCCATAATCAACAAAAACAAAATGGCGGATTCTACCAAAGTATTGTCATTTACAAAAACCGCTGGAGAAAAAGAAAATCGGATTTTTTCCAACCTGTACCGATGTCATCTTAGGCTATTCATTTCTGAAGAGAATGAGTACTCGAACATCGAAATCGAACAAATAGTCCAGTAGATACACTCATTTCTTTGCAATTTGTTATGGAGTGAATGTGCGAATCTCGTATAAACGATTATTATTATTTTGCTTCAGGCTTCATGAAAATTCAATTGAATTTGGATTTCTTAGAGTTATTTCAAAGATAAAGAACTGTAGCACACAATGGAACATTTGAAAATCTATTAATTGAAAGAAACAAAATGGTGGAGAATCCAGAATTTTTGTGATTTTCAAAAATCTCTGGCGAATAAAAAAATGTTTATTCTTCCAATCAGGACTGATACAATTTTAGATCATTGATTTCTAGAAGAATGAGCACTCGAACATCTGAATCGAACAATTAGTCCAGGAGAAAAACGTTATTTTTGGCAAAGTGTTATGAAGTGAATGTGCCAATCCCGTAATAAGAATTACTTTTAGTTTGCTTCTGGCTTTATCAGAATTCAATGGAATTCGGATTTCACCCCATAACACTTTGCCAAAAACAACGTGTTTCTGCTGGACTAATTGTTCGATTCAGATGTTCGAGTGCTCATTCTCTTCAGAATTCGATGATCTCAAATTGTCTCGGTCCTGATTGGACGAATAACAATTTTTTTATTCGCCAGAGATTTTTGAAAATCACAAAAATTCTGGATTCTCCGCCATTTTGTTTCTTTCAATTATTGGATTTTCAAATGTTCCATTATGTACTACAGTTCTTTATCTTTGAAATAACTCCAAGAAATCCAATTGAATTTTCATGAAGCCTGAAGCAAAATAATAATAATCGTTTATACGAGATAAGCACATTCTCTCCATAACAAATTGCAAAGAAATGAGTGTATCTACTGGACTATTTGTTCGATTTCGGTGTTCGAGTACTCATTCTCTTCAGAAATGAATAGCCTAAGATGACATCGGTACAGGTTGGAAAAAATCCGATTTTCTTTTTCTCCAGCGGTTTTTGTAAATGACAATACTTTGGTAGAATCCGCCATTTTGTTTTTGTTGATTATGGAATTTTCAAATATTCCTCTGAATACTATAGCCCTTCAGCTATGAAACGACGCCAAGAAATTCGAATTCGGTTGAGACATGATGAAACCACGAGGAAATAAAAACTTCCGGTTTTTTGTGACCATCCGATACATAATAAAGTGTGTCCCGCTTTAAGTATAACGCATCCACGTATTATTTTGGAGTTTTCTATGCTCAGAATCATATCACTTTATGTTGAGAACCCATTGCAAATTCTTTTTGCCTATGTCTCATACGGAGTTTTCATCAAAATGTCATAAGGGACTGTCATCAGGCACTGGAATGAGTCTTTATTATGTCTAGTTCGAAAATTGAACCTGTTATTTTCAAGGAGAATTTCTATTTCCAAACTAGAAATAAACAAAGAATGTTTGCAAAAAATGACATTGTCACTTTTTCAAAACACAAACTTATTATAACTGGTTTTAATCTATGTAACTTTGAAACGAAAAAAATATACCGATGTGCGGTTTACACAATTCTCACTTTCTCTTTAAAAGTTTCTCAACTCACCGGCAAAAAGACCGGCCCACAAAAATATTAGCCAAATTGTTCGCTCTCTAACTTTTTCAATTCTTGTCCGATTTTTGTGAAATTTCGATCAAATCGTATATTCACCAATTAATTATGTCACTACGACGTACTTTCTATGACGTGATAATCACGTTATCATCTCGACGTCGAGTGAACGTCACTTAAATGGGTAAAATGTGAAAAAAAATTAGGTACGCCGCTTCAAAACAATTTAAATGATTGAAATTCGCGTGGTTATGCCTTCCGCACGAAAATGTGGACAGAGGTGACATCAGAATGGCTACAGTGTGGAACTTTGAGTGGACAAAGGGGTCTAACCTCAAAATTTAATTTGATTCCCATATTTTTTTTTTATCTATGCTCAAGGCATGAAATATATTTGCACTTATTTCAATGCCACCCTGATGTATACAAGGTGATTCTTCATTTTTTCCTAATATATCAAAGTGGGTGATAGACTTCTGAGAGAAATATTGAGGTACTATAGGATATCTACCTCCAAAACTAGGATTCGTATTTTGAAATAGTGAGTATATACAGGGTGTTTCTTAAGTACGTGTAGAAAATTCAGGAGCATGTTATTGCTGACGTCTAAATAGGAAGAGAAGTTCGTATAAACATGGTGTCCGAAAGTCATCCGTTTCTGAGATACAGAGTGAAAAGTTGAATTCTTATTGGAAGAGTTCAAAAAAGCAGGTACAAATAAGTAAGAATCATATTTTGCCTACATTTCAATGTTAAATGAAGAAGAATATTGAATAAAAGAAGAACAATGCACTGGCGAATTTTTTCTGAAATTCACTAGAGGCGACTTACTAACTACATGGAAATATTTCGAATGCATCGATTATTTCGAATCCCAATAACTCGAAAACAGTTGCTCGCAGCGACATCTACCAAGAATATATTTTTCACACAAAAGTTTTCTAGAAATCAATTTTTTTACTATGAAACGTTTTACAGGTACGCACAAAAAAGTTATAACTTTTCAAAAGACTCAAAAGACATATGTAGGTAACGCCATCCCCACGAAAGAGACTAACATAAAATTTGATATATTCATTGAAAAATACCCCTAGATACCAAATTTCATTCCGATATCACAATTATTTCGAAATTTATTTACAAAAAACAAAAATAAGAATTCATCTTTGACACTCTTTATCTCAGAAACGAACTTTTCTTCTTATTTTGACGTCAGCAACATGCTCCTGGATTTTGTACACGTAATTAAGAAACACCCTGTATAGTAAAATCATCATTATTTATTATTGTATTTTCGTTTTCTATTTTCCACTTTATTTATCGATCCAATATTTGAAGACACCCTATATAACTGACGATGGCTACCGGGTATAAAAATCTCTTCAGTAAATTTTTTTTTCTATTCGTTCCTGAAGAGAATGAATAATCAATTTCACTATCCTATATTGTTGATTAATTTTTGCCAAAGAAAGTCAGCCTGGTGCAGTTATTAATTTTCTTTAAATAATATATTATTCTCTTGTACCTGATATAGACGCTTATAATAAATTATTGATAAGATAGTATTATCAATCTAAAATCTAGTCACAAGGTTAGGTGGGTATAGTCATTAAGAACTGATGATATAGGTATACTACTACAAAGATATACAGGGTGATTCACATAAGACCCGACATAGAGCAGGGGCATGTAGGGGGTCCCAAAATATGGCAATTTAACGCAACTTACCTCTATACCAAGTTGCTTCCCTAAGGAGTTATAGGCTTTGAAAGTGAAGTAATAAATTTTGAAAAAAATCAATATCTCCGTTATTCTTGAATTTAAAGCAACCAAATTTGGAACACTTTGTGGATGTATTTAGGGCGTTACTTGACAGTAACTAGAATTTAATTGAAATTTGTAATGGGGGTATACCGGGTGGCGCACCATTAATATTCAACAGAATTTTGTTAACCCTTGATGGATTTTAAAAATCTTCGCTTCGTTGTGTGGGGAATTCAATTCTAAAACATTTCTTACTCCAGTAATTTTTCGAAAAACCTCATCATTTTCATCAAAAACTCGAATAACTGAGAACGCGCGCTCTAGGTGTGTTATTTAAAATCATCGAAAATTCAAAAGTTGGCTATGAAAATAAACGTACAACAAAAAAGTAGGTCATTAATTGTGATCAGTAGAAATTGGCTGGCAAATTATCATTTAGATACGTAACAAAATACGTAAAGTAAGTACAGATACTGAAATGTGAAAAACTGGGATTAACAACTAAAAAAAATAAACACAAAAAACTTGAACAACAACCAGAACAAACAATTGTTTATCGATAAATTACTTAATTGAACAACTCACTTGCTTCATTGTCAAGTTTGACGTTTATTTTCATAGTCAACTTTTGAATTTTCGACGATTTTAAATAACACACCTAGAGCACGCGTTTTCAGTTATCAGAGTTTTTGATGAAAATGATGAGGTTTTTCGAGAAATTACTAGTCTAAGAAAAGTTTTAGAATTGAATTGCCCACAAAACAAAGCAGAGATTTCAAAAATCCATCAAGGGTTAACAAAATTCTGTTGAATATTAATGGTGCGCCACCCGGTATACCCCCTTCACAAATTTCAATTCAACTCTAGTTACTGTCAAGTAACGCCCTAAATACATCCACAAAGTGTACCAAATTTGGTTGCTTCAAGTTCAAGAATAACGGAGATATTAATTTTTTTCAAAATTTATAACTTTACTTTCAAAGCCTATAACTCCTTAGGGAAGCAACTTGCTATAGAGGTAAGTTGCGTTAAATTGCCATATTTTGGGACCCCCTACATGCCCCTGCTCTATGTCGGTTCTTATGTGAATCACCCTGTATGTTTCTATTATTACACTCGATCAATTGCACCTATTGATGCCTATCTACCCATACCTCTCTATATATTTGAAATAAATGATAAGTGTATATTACTTAGTTGTAAAACTCACCTTCCAATTCTTTCTCTGTAAATTCTTTCTTGATCGAGGAACTCTAAAATTACATAGTGCAATATTTTTATTGGACACCTCACCATCTATAGATGCGATATTTTTCAAATCAATTAGGTATACTCACCCTTCTTTTCATAAACGGTAAACTTGCCATATTGGTGTATTTTCAGCATTCACTATTTTGAACTTTTCTTGTGATGATTTATGTAAGTGCATGACATTGGTAACAATAACAACAAATTCACATTTTCGATTCAGAAGTTGTTTATAGACGCCTGTTCAACACTCATGGTCTTGTGCCAAACTATAAAAACTCCAGTGACACATTTATTTTAGTAAAATCGCCTCCGAATTTTCTCATACACTTGTGAGATTAATTTATTAATCACCAGGACATATGTAAATATTTGGGTTCCACAAAGTCACTGTGTAATCTTTCTTCAAAGGTGATGCTGAAAATAACGTTGCTCAAATTCAAATAAAATATTTATTCTTGCTGAAATTTTATAAAAACAGATTTATCTTAGCTGATAAGGAATATTATTTATTGTATTTGTAATCCCTTGAATGCCACAAAGGTTTATCAAAAACATTATATTTCTTCTTAACATTTTTTTTCTTCTAATCTGAGAGGTATAGGCAACCGCCTGGCATACCTACCCTCTCTCATTCCAAATTTCAAAATCAATAAAGTATAATAACTCTTGGATAGGTTCAAATTATAAATATGGGTATATTCCTTTTGATCATTATTTTCAAAATCTAATATCTGGTAATTATAATCTACCACTATTTTCTTCATCTATAAAATAGTACATTTATTAAACAAGCATAATATAATATTCACGCAAGAAGGTTAACTTGCTACGCTCGTGACATAATAAATCTGAGTGAATAAATAGCTCATTGAATGCGAGTAGAATACTATATTTTATCTACGACTGTGGTATGAAATATTTATAATACAATCGAGATGTGTCCCGGCGTGTTCGCCAAAACTTTGAATCTAACAATCGGCGCCCGACTGTCGGTATTCCATCTCATAGGGCTCCTGCCCCTGTAAATAATTTTGTTCATGACTACTATATTTTCTTTGATATATAAATTTATTTCTAACAACAGTTTTATCATAACTTATTTGACATAAAGAAAACTACAAATAGAAGATATATCGCGTAGGTACCCTATAGGAACTCTAAATCAGAGAATAATGGTTATTGACTCTGCTACAATTCACTGGTGTGAAAAATGGCTATTGTTTTGCTTGAGGAAGTACATGTATTATCAATATTTTATACAACAGTCGTGGATATATTATATAATATATTATTTTCCATGGATTACCGACATTCGGTCGCCGAATTTCATTATTATTAAGATTTTTAGATTCAAAGTTTTGGCGAACACGCCGGGACACATCTCGACCATAGATATTGTACTATGAATATTTCATACAACAGTCGTGGATGAAGTATAATATTCCACTCGCATAGTATATTATTCAAAAAGCATATAATGAGGGCTATTATTCATGAAGGTTGAGTTTGTCACGAGCGTTGCGAGTGGACTGATATTGAATATTGGCATTCTATTACTCCACTGTGTCGTTACGGATATCAATTAAATTGTACAACACTTCTCATGCTTTTTTTATGTAAATAATGTGTCTATGCGTTGTCGAAATTGTTGAATTTCAGAGCTCATTTCAAACGAACCTTCATGGCCGCCATTTTGGCGATATGTCGAATAAATGCTGACTTTTTTGGGCAACAAGCATGTCCAAATATTTATTATTCTCCATAACAAAATATCATGTGGATGTTGAAGACTTGGCAACATTGTACTGGATGCTGAGAACTGACAAGACCACGCCCACAATTCGTGCGCTGTTGTCACGTTCATTGATTCAAATGTCCTCTATATAGTGTGAATTAATATAATTATTATTTACACAAATTTATTATAAGCAATAAACCAGGGAACATTTTGAGACAATTGAATTTTTATTGCTAATTAGGAATATTACCAATACTTGATTGAGAATTTATGAATTATTAATAACTATATTATTTCTGAAGTTCTCAATCGTATTTCAGCACATTGCAACTGTGCTGCCCTGCTGGTCTGCCCGTACTTACGAAATCGTGGCGTCAGTTTTTACGGTAAATTTCTAGCCGTTTGAAAATTACCGTGACATGATTGATGATTTTAGCTTTAGCACCTAAAAATCTACCGAAAAATTCTTAAAAAATATGGAATTGAAAAGTATTTGAATGATGATTCTATTTAAGTAATGAAAAAAAAAAAGTCCAATCGCCTATTAACCTGAAGATGTGTTGTTCGGTGCCTCATGTGTAATCAATATATAAAAGTACAAATGTATCAATACACAGCTTCCCCGCAGATGCAAAATTATGCAGTATGACCAGAGATTATAGAGTGTTATAATCTCTGGTATGGCAGACCATTTCAAAAATTGGGAAACCTATTTCCAAATATAATATATATCTGTGTGCAGCGAAGACTATACTTAGAAACCGTTCAATCTATGTTATTAATGTATTTTTTCTTTCAACGGAAATGGAATCCCAATGCAGGAGTTCATTTTAACAAAAGGCTTCAGAAAAGTAGGTACCTCAAGAATAGTTTATATACAACGATTTAATGTGCGCAAGGCGATTTGAAAATGTTCTATTATGTCCATGAAAAGGCTATGAAAAAAACTAGGGAGGTGTTTTTGTGACATCCCAAGGAAATTATGGTAGACACTGCCTGCGGCAGACATTTTGGATGTTCTATAAAAGTTCTATTCATGTGTAAACAGAACATCACAAAGGAGGTTCAATGTCTCAAAATCTAGTACTTTTAACATTTCTGAGATCTTTTTCTGCTCGCTGGGATATATATATACACCGAACATATCCCTAGTCTCAAAAAAACTATTCTCTTTTATTCAAGTCCTCAGCAACCAGTTACCAGTTATAATTGACTGAACTAGGTACATAAAATTATATGAAAAAGGATTTCTATACAAAGTACAATCATATGTCCCGATGCTACGAGTGAATACATATACAGTTATAGGTTAGGTAAATACTGTCTGTATAGGTAACTTCTTCATTTTACATATGAATACAAGAAAATGTAAAAAAAATAAGTTATAGGTTTTCATTCCATCTATTTAATGGTTTGAGTTGTTGTTATACAGAGTGTCTCAAAAAAGCTCAGCGGCTTATAAAAATTATTTTAAATGAAACACCCTGTATATCATTCCAATTTTAGATACCTACTACCTCAACATTTGAACAAGTTTGATAAATTGTTTTATATCACAAAAGATAATATAATTCTGGAATTATAAACAATTGTGTGAACTAATATTTATTTCAGTGAGGAAACTCAATGTATTTTACTTCCCTATCCTAACCTGTTGAAGTTTTCTGAAATTATTGTAATGTAAAATCAATAAGTTACTAGAGGAGGGGCACAATCTTTTGCTCCTCACTGTGTATATCATGAGAATATAATAAAATTTGATAATATAACAAGTATTGTCTTCATCAATCTTCTTTAATTGATAACTACTAGAAAAACCAGCCATATCCATCAATTTGTTTAATAATATTCATATTGATAATTTCATAATAATATATTTGGTTAAAGAATTAATTTCATAATAATATATTTGGTTAAAGAATTATTTTATTTTTTCAACTTTTTTATCAATTGCCTTTGATTTGCTTCTCTAACTCTGTTATGAGATCATCTACTTCATCAATACAAAAATTTCTTTTCTTTGAAGACCTACTAGTTGGTAATGAAACTCTGTCCCAGAACTGAATATATTCTGGTGATATGGACTCTAACTGCAACAAACGATCTTCAATGAGTTTCAAACGTTGAAAAATATCTTTTGGAACAGGTACTGTTAAACTCAACTGACTCTCAACATTTCCTAGTCTTTCTTCCACACCATTAGGAGGAATGAACTGAGTGAGATAGTTTGAATTTTTCTGATCTCTATGTTGATAAGAGTTCAATACACGGTGTACTTGTAAATGGCTTTTTGAATCTTTCCTCTTCTGCAGAACAGCATCTACTCTGGCACAAGTAAACTCAGAATTTCTTTCACCACAACAAAATTCTCTAATATTATGAACATCTATGTCACTCCTCTTTCTTTGCATGAATCTTGATATCCTTTCTTCAATTTCATTATTCATAGCTTTTATTTGTACTAGATATGGAGGTATGTATGGAGCCTCAACATTCTGATTGATCTCTCTACTGTTTTTCAAATTTGAACAATTGGATGCAGAACTATCAACTGGTGAAATTTCAATGTCCCAAGTTGAAATAAATGTTCTGAATCTATCAATAACCCATTCAGTTGCTTTGATTGCTTCTTTATCCAAATGAGATGATACAGCTACTACAATACTTGTTTCAGCCTCAGAAAGTTGCCCTATTCTAAAATACACTACAATATTCTCAATGTGGGGCCAGGAACTACGGGCTTCAATACATACATTGTTTAAAAACTTTGAACCCTGTTGACAAAATTCTTCACATTCAAAATTAGCTTTGTTATATTCATGGAGAATATTTTTGGTGCCAATAAACATATTAACAGCACTACTTGAACTAGTATGTGATATATTGAATATTTGCTCCATAGATAGAGTGTCCTTTGTGAATTTGATGTGATTCATTCTCCTGGTTCAAGATTTCCTTTGAGTTGTTTTTGATCTTGTATCAATATTGTCTCACTATTACAAGAGCATGGATTTCAGAAGTTTGATATATTGTTCCTATGATTTGTTGTCTTAAGTATTGAAAGAGTGGTTTTTCTTCCATTACTCCAAAAAGTTTTTCTTTTATATCTTCAACATCTTTATTTTCAACGTTAGTGCGAATAGTGGGTTATGTTTTGTTCCTGGTTTTGTTTATGTTTATCAGATGTTAGATGTTCATTGTTCTCATTCTGTTTTCAGTGTTGTTCCTAGGTCTAATTTTTTCGTACCAGATTTCCTTGGAAAAAGGTAACAGATTCGAATCAAAAAGTAATAGATTGGAAGTCTGACATTCTGAATGTAATTCTCGTCGAACTATCGCACGGATTAGACATTTATGACAGGAATAAGGCAAAAATAACACAGAATTTATGACATGAATATAGAACATAGACTGTGACATAGACTCATAGAGCAGAACATAATCATTCGCTGCACACAGAAATAGATCAAACATCATATTTTGGAGCTAACAGCAAATAGTAATAGATCTATCAGGCATTCCAGAACACGTGACTTTTGACATATTTCTAATGGCCGCCTGTAGGCACACAAGTATTTTTTGTTGATTTACGTAGCAGCAGTATAATCTTAGGTAGATACATCAAATAATAATAATGGCTGTTTTCAATAAAAGTGGATATTTATTATCCTTGGACCGCTCTAACAAAGATATTGCGACACGAAAGTATGTATGCCTACAGTCGGCCATATTGATTTTGATGGTTTGACAGCATCTTGGATAGGTCAATCTATGACAAACCGTAATAACGTAACCAGCTTTCGTGAAATAGTAATAGATCCATTACAAAAGAACAACACTGTCTGTTTTTGTTCTACATTTTGTTTAGTCAATGACGACTAAATATCCAGACTGTCTGACGGGAAACAGTCTAGATATTTTGTCGTCATCGGTTGAGTTCTCCGGAACAATGTAGTGTAGTGTATCTCGGTGTAGTGTATTGTACTGTAATCTGAACTGGCTGAAAGAGTGATTCGTGCACAGAAGAAGAAGGCACAGTTTGACGTTGGTTTGACGGTTTCGTTAGTCACTTGTCAGTTAGACAGTTAGTCACTAGTCAGGCAGGTTCAGGCAAAATGGCAGCCTTCATTTTCCACTTTTTGTGCTAAAGTTGTTCAATGTTCATTGATTAATAATCACTACATAATTAGGTATAAAAATTGTAATAATTTACTGAATTCACTAATGTCGTGAAGTGATAGTTCATTAAATAATTTTTAGTGAATTTAATACTGGCTGTTTTGTTGTATTTTGTTGAATAAACATTCGAACAGGCAAGTATATTCTGTTGCATTATGAACATAATATATTATTCTCACAATCTATTCATCATGTAATTTTGTTCCTGGTTTAACAAGATTTATCGCAATAATAGGTGCTATTACAATCATGAAAGACTATGGTAAATACCCGAAACCTTATTTATCTCCTGGAAGGTCTTTTGCCTTTATTCTGAGTACTAGTAATAAGTACCTAGGTTCTGAACATAATAATAACAAATCCAAGTCGAAATCCAATTTCTTTAAATTCATTTCAATCAATATTTCCACAATCTCTTAAAGATTTTTCTTTAAAACTAGTAGCAAGCCTCTTAGCAAACTGAGTGGGTGTTGTGTGTTGTAGAAGAAAATGAAGGAAGTGAAATAAGTTTTGTCATTGAAGTTGGTGTACCTATGTTATTCTCGAAAATAGTGAAATGGTAGGAGTATTTAAAAAATTCTGTATCAAAATTTAGATACTATTTCATGTATTTACACTAAATAAGAATCCCTGTGACTAAATTTGTCAAGGAATGACTCACTTTCTAAATATATTAATTCTCTTAGCAGTCTTCTTAGAATATTATGAAACAGTAGTTGATTAAAGTTTCAAATGTAATGAGATAAAGCAGGGGATATGGAAATATGTACACATTTCTATTCTATATTATTAGATTATTGATGTTTCATTAGGTAGCAATGGAGGTGGATATACCTATCTGAATGACCTTTTATGTACACCTACATAACAGCTCCTTCAATGTAGTCTTTCTGACATTTCTTCAGTCAAAATGAGGTCACTATATTTTGTGAATAATTTCGTTTATACTCCTACATAGGCATTCAGTATTTTGCTGGAAATCAGTTTGATAAATAGGTACCTAATAATTGGCCAATAGATGTAAATTTGTCCTATTCATCAATCTTCAATAATGATTAGCTTCTGTTCAGATTTTCTGGAATTTCCTGCATAATTCAATTTTTTATTTATTGAAAATATTCCTTGGAAATTAATAAATCCAATAAATTTGCATAAAAGACCTTTCACATGTATAGTTCTTTATATTATATCTAATCTAATTTTCAAATCAATCTTTTTTTACTACAGTTTGTCTCTAATTAAAATGTACTCCCCTCTTTATCTCAATTATTAGTCATGTGATCCCAAGCAAATTTGGAATGGTTTCTGGTATTAGGACATGTCAATCATGGCATGTGTTTTTGTTGAATTGAAAAGTGGTTGATTTCTGTACAATCAAATATAGGAACTAGTGAATAGGCTGAAAGACTTCTGTCCATATCCTGAGTAACAGCCTTTTGGGTAATTTCCCAATAAGATTTTCCCTCTCAAATATGGGCATTCAGGTTAATATGAGTAATATTTCAATATACTTGTAGTAGGACAAATCAGGTGAATTGACCAGATATGTCACTGCCTTCAACAAACTTTTCTATCAGAAAGCCCATAAGAAAAATTCAAGGAAAGGAAAACATTTTGAAACATGATTGAAGAAAATATATACAGATACATTGAAACATTATTGAATCTTTGGACGAATCTGCTTCTTTTTTAAAGTATTTTTAGTGGATTTTTTAATATATCTCAATTTCATGTGAAACTGGTATAGAATCGAATTTTTAGATACAAAATAATCATTGGTGAGCATGATATTTTGAAGAGAATTCAGATATGTTGAGATAAACAGGGCCAAAAATAGGCCGATCCCGAGGGGGAGGACACGGCGGCAATATGTGTACAAAATGTTCGGAAATTATTGGCAATACTTGGGGCATTATCGGCATTATTCGAAAAAGATCACTAACTGGCAATAGTCGGCATTGAAGAAGAAATGCAGAAATATGCAACATTAAGACGGAATTATCAGGCCATAGACGGCAATAGATATGAGATATTTGGCAAAATGTCGAAAATAGTGGGGAATTAACTGCACTGAATGATGTAACAGCATGGAAAGGGGTGTCTATTCTTTATTTCTGTCCAATCATTCATTGCAGTTAGTTGTCCTCGGTTGTCCCTATGTAAGGGTTTTATCAGTAGGATATTTTTGCTACTTTTTGCCAATTTCAAGAAACAAAAGCACAGAGAGAAATAAGTATTATGGTATTTTTGACATGGAATACGGATATGTTTAGAATTATTGTCCCGAGAATTGTTAAAACAGGCATAAAAAACTATTAGGTATATAAGGCATTGATAATAATTTTCAGCCTTTAGGCATTAGTCGGCAATATCAGAAATATAAAATATATATCGGCATTACGGCAATAAACTAGCATTTAATGCGGAAACTGGAAATAGGTGTACATAATTTTGAAGCGTGTCCCCCTCGGCAAATCCATTTTAAAAAACATATCTGGTTCCTTGATAATAATAATTCCAGAAGAAGCTCCTGCATTTATCATCCGATGTTTTTTTTTTCGAAATTTTTTTTTGGTACTTACGTATATTTGTCTGAAAAAAAAAACGAATTTGATAATGAAAATGTGAACAAACCCCTATTTATCGAGATATTTCACTATAATGTTACAAATTTCACCATCTTTTCCGCCTGTCTTCTCGATCGCATTTAGAACAATTTGCCCTTCTTATTTCATCATTGGACAATTTATATACAGGGTATTCCAAAAAAACCTGACCCCCTTGATAGGGTAGGTAGAACACTGCAAAATAAGTTGGGTTTGTTCAGTAAAAAAAATGTCGTAACGGCATCCGTTTTCAAGATACAAGACGTTGAAAAAATGATTTTTTTACACATTTTTCACGATTACGTCGAAACTACTGGCAAAGTGGCAACATTGTGATGAAATTTTGTATGGATGTTTTTTGGAACCTGACACATCGCATGAATTCGTTTTTATATCTGACTCTCATAGAGGGCGCTAGTTACACGGTTCTTACCTAGTAGTTTTAAACATAACTTTTTGAGGTTAGATTTTTCGATCCGAATTTAATGAGAACTTGAACACAACGTTCCGACAGCTGTAAATGCACCCAACACAAAAGGAAAAAGAAGGCGAAAATTCGAACTTTTCTTGGAATATCTCGATAAACAGTGGTTTGTTCACATTTTTATTATCAAATTCGCGCTTTTCAGGAAAAATACGTAAGTACCAAAAAAACTTTCGAAAAAAAAACAACAAATGATAAATGCAGTTTTACGTTTTTTTTTCTCATTTAATTGATTCCAGACTTGTTTATTCTATTTATCTTATTTCTAAGTGATATGCATTTTACTTATGTACAACCTATAATGCTGCAATAAAGCATATCATATCATATCATACCTTCTCCACAGAAATAGGGACACTCTGTATCTTGTATACATACTTTTGTAAAACCTTTATTTCATTGCTAAGTCCCTGTTTAGATGAATTCATGAAGTTGGCATTACCTTTAAATTGTCAGTGATCTGGTCTCTATACAGTTCACCTTATAAGGAATCTAAAGTTACTGTTTCCTGTGTTTTCAATTAAATAGATAAAAAAAACTGGTAATCCTAGTGTACTGTTGATAGGACAAGTAATGCTTCTTTGTGGGGGTTATTGAAGGTTAATTATTACAGAAAAGCGATAATATACAGGGTGTATCCTCATCCTCATATAAGTAAGTTCTACTCGTTTAAAATAGCACCGAAAATGCTTCCATCTCAGTATAGAGGATGTTGTATTTTTTTTTTCAACTGTTCTTTAATTAACTTCTTGATAACCCTCATGTCATGTCGAATTTTTTGAAAACTATGGGGTTTGTTTTTAGTAATAGAAGGCTTATTCAACTGTTACTTGATTTGTCTTGTCCAGTCCAGTGGCGTAGCGGATGGAAACGCTGTTTATATTCTCCGACCTTCGTTTACGAGATTGTTTTATCTTGATGAGAACTTGAAGTTTGCAAAATTAAAACTGACATTCACTGTACAGTGTACAGGCTGTCCCACTTTCGAAAATTTCACGGTATATCTCACTTATTTTCAAAGATAGAGAATCCATCATATTGATGCTCTGCGTCAACATTTACCAATATTCAGCAATATTTATTGACTGTAAAAGCTGTGTATCTAATTGGTAGGTGGCTATAAAAAAAGTGAGTGCAGAATGTTTCATAATCTTTGTCACCTATCTGTAAAATTTTCAAAATTTTCATACAACGGCGAAAGATAATCCAGGATATCAAAACTACGAAATTCTAGTAACCAACTTATATCCCAACCTAACTGGCAATTCGAATAATGGTTCAAAACTGTACTTTTTCCACTGGCGTAGAAGTTGGGGAGGAAAACACCCACTGTTCCTTCAGAATCTTCAACAATTGTGACTCATAAAAAAAAGAAATTCCGAACACAGCTTATTATGAGTAGAAAATCCTTACGAAAGCTGATTCCTGTGAGATAAACGGTTCAAGAGATTTCGCAAGCAACATTTTTTTTTTAATTTCAACATATATTTGGATGATCTATCACATCCTGGAGTCCTGCGCATGTACTGGGTGTATCGAAATAACACCGAAAAAATTCTAGGTGTGATTCCTTGCGATATTTCAGGAAATGAAGTTCATATGTGTCATAACGTGCTTCGTTTCGAGTATGCATTTTAGGACATACGTTGATAGGAACTTTTCACCTCAAAATGAGGTGAGGAATCCGTGAAAAACGTTTGTCGGTCTTATTCTGACTCACCCTGTATACTGTACATATACTTCTTCGGGATTTATGAATAGATCGCGCTCGAATCGCGCTGTATCTATTGTTATTTATTCTGAGGTGTCATTTATGACCTCTTATATGAGTATTTATCCGTTTATCGGTGAGTACGAGGGTGGATATGAATAAAGCTTCCCTAACATACCATGTTTCTCGTAATGTACGTAAGACATCTTGACTTTTACGATTAAATGAGTTGAATATTATTATGACGAAAACAAAATCGTTAATAAGCAGATTCCTGAAAAAATATATAAATACTGTTATAGAAGACACCCGCATACTGGCCGTGTAATGAATATGAAAAAACGCATAGTGAAATGATACTCTATTGAAAATTACATTTTTTCAAATATCCTTGATGCCACTGCCTCATGTGAGAGCTGTTTTCTCCTAATTCCATAAACAACCACGATATCATTTACATGTCTAAAAATCGAAATTTCGGATTTGTTTATAACTGTGTACCTATATTTATCGAGATAAAATATGTAATTATTGATGAACGAAAGATTGACTATTATAAAGGGTGTTTCGATAGTCAAACGACAACTTTTGATAAGTGATAAACCTCGGGATTTTTGATGGCTAAGGCAGGTTCTTCAAGTTTTGAGGGCTCGGATCTCATGGAAGCACTCCCGTACCTCACGTAATTATTGGGGTAGGGTTCTGAAATTTGCAGGAGGTAGCGAAAGGTACGTCCTGATTTTGAATCCGAGTGATTTTCAACCTATCTTGCCTCCTTATATCATTTTTGTGGGTGGTTCCATGGCTGTTGGCGAGCAGTGTATATCACTGGAGACGACTCCACTTGGTCATAGTGTGTATTTTCAATATATCTACCGCTCTTGCAAATTTCAGAATCCTTACTCAACAATTACGAAAGATACAGGGGTGCTATGATATTTTATATTCGTATGAATATTTCATGATTGAGACAATAAACGAGCGCCTCGCGAGAGTTTTGAACAGTGCATCTTTCATTCTGGCTTCCATCCTAATTGACGTTATAAACGTCAAAAATGTTATCACCGAACAACGAGGTTGGTTGGTCACATGTGGGTTAGTTCGGCTTCTGTAGGTAGAGCAAGTCTGATGAATTTTAGTAAACATCGCTGGAATACAGGAGAATCTGTGAAAATGGTCGATTCTGATTGATTCTCGAGAACAAGAGGGAAACGTCAACAAAATTGAACGGAGAATTCGAAAAGTTGATAATAATCGAAATTTCATCAGTGTTTTTATTTTTTATTTTATTTCATTTTATAGGTTACAGGCTACTCAACAGGTCGAATGACCCAATTACAGAGAAGCACAAAATATACTAATCATCACAATCGAAGGTTATGAAAAGTTAAAGTTTATATAAGTGAGATTGATTACTACAGTGGAATATAAAGAAACAGAAAAATGGGAAAAGGTGAATTTCAGTTAGCTATTTGAAGAGGAGTCGTTACAATTGGGGTTACAATACCTAATTATGTGAAAAGAAGTCAAGAGTGAATAATTTGCCTCAGTTTGGTTTTAAACCTGAATATTTTCGTAGTGAAAATATCTACAAGAGAATTGTTTCCTATCACATTATAAGAATTTATGCACCTATGTAAGGGAGAATTCAGTAAAGAGTTAGTAGAGCTAGGTCCATTTGTGAAGATATGTCTGTTTCTCACGTCATATATGGAGTACAGTTCAAAATGAGAGAATTGGTGCAAAAGTCAGAATCAATTAGATTATTGACCACTTTTTAAATGAAAAGAATGTCGAAAAATTTTCTCCTCAGTTGAAGGTTTTCAATTTTGTAGTGTTTAACATTAGCATTGTATGAGGAGAAAATATGGCAGAAGAAGTTGTAAAAATCCCCTGTGGCGCGTCGCTGGTTGAAATGAAGTTACTGTATTAAAAAATCGAGATATAGAAGAGAAATTCATAATGAAATCCATCGAAAAATTTAGCCGTTTTTGAATCATTAATCCTGAAAAACTTTTTATTTTTCAACCAACACCCTGTATTTCTGAAATAAACCACTTAAGGATATCATGTCACTAGAGCTTCTTCAAAGCAACTACATGATTTATAAATTTTGTGTTAACCTGTCTTTTTTTTTCTCCAAATAAACTGGATATTCACTGAAGATTGTTTACCTAATTGTTCCTTTCAGTACAATGGAGCAAATCAAAGGGACATCTACAAGCTGCCTTCTAGTCCTTTTGATAAGTTCCCTCGCAACAGCACAAGTAGCCCAAAGATACACCTCACTGAATCCTTGTACATCGAAAGGGAAATGTCACGAATGTATTCAAACACCATCGTGTGCTTGGTGTTATGATCCAGTAAGTATTCATTCCAATGATCTAATAATAATTAGAGTCCCTGTATATACCTTAGACAAGAGTCCGGACACAACTATACTTCTGTCCTTTTCTGTTTTCAAAAAATGCATTGATGATTGAATAAAGGAATAAGACATAATTATACAGAGTGGGCCTTTGAAAACGAAACAGAGGCTCTGTAGGTCGCCAAAACCGGATTATGAAAAGAATCTGAAACACGTCAACTACGTTTTCGAGGGGGACATCGTCCTACAATATTTTCAGCCCTGCGGCGTTGCCGCTGCTAACGAAAAGAAGCAACAACTTTGTTATTTCAAATGGAACACCTTGTATTTCATTGCATTTTTAGATTCTCCCCGAAGAGCTGATTTCATCAATGCATCACACTTGGGGTCTAGCTGTAATGGTTTCAGGGATATAAAGTGTTCAAAATCGAGATTTTTCAACTTTGACATTTTTTTGTGTCGAAACTATTCATTATTGGTCGAAACGGCTCTCATGTCCCTATATCAACTGTGATTTACTATCTACTGACATTTAATTGGAACAGATACAGGGTGATCAGAATTCTGAATCTTGAACCACCCTGTATTTGTTTCAAATAAATGTCAGTAGATAGTAAATCACAAGTTGAGATCGGGACATGAGAGCCGTTTTGACCAATAATGAATAGTTTCGACACAAAAAAATGTTAAAGTTGAAAAATCTCGATTTTGAACACTTTATATCCCTGAAACCATTACAGCTAGACCCTAAGTATGATGCATTGATGAAATGAGCTCTTCGGGGAGAATCTAAAAATGCAATAAAATACAAGGTGTTCCATTTGAAATAACAAAGTTGTTGCTTCTTTTCTTTAGAAGCGGCAACGCCGCAGGGCTGAAAATATTTTAGAAAGATGTTCCCCTCGAAAATGTAGTTGACCTGTTTCAGTTTTTTTGATAATCCGGTTTTGTCTCTGTCTTTTCAATTCCCCTAGTATCAATGATTGTCAGAAACAATTTTGAGGGTTAGATTATTTGTCAAACCGTTCATAGCCGTAGGTAGAAGTGAGAAATAGGGCTATTTTAACTAGAATAACTATTAGATTTTCAAATAATGAACAACAGGGTGTTCAAATTTCGAATCGATAATTTTCGTAATCAATTCCTGAGATGGCTATTGCAAATTTTCGTCATCGGATATTTATTTTCTTCATTAGCTATAAGAAAGATAATTTAAGTGTTCTACGCGGAATCACATATAGCCAAGAAAATATAGTTGTTTTGTGTTGGGATATAAAAAAATAGAAGATTTATAATTGTTTCAATATAATTTTAATTGTGTCGGTTTTCCACCTCTTCCTGCAGTCTACATTCACCAGTAAATTTTTTAATTTGATCTGAATTAAAAACACCGTGGGCTGATGACATAGCACATTGCAATTTCCCTAAATCTTTTAGTTTTGATTTCAAACTTTCAATTTCTCTCCGCTTCATCTCATCCTCATTTTCTTTCTCTGCGATCGTATTATTCAGTAATTCCCAATACGATGACGACGGAACTCTTTTTTTGAAGAGATTGACGGCACAGCAGACTCTTTCAATTTGAAATCCATCAGCTTGAAAGAATCTCTATCAAAATGGGCCTAAAATTTATCGTACTGTTTTTACAAGTGGATTCGAATATTCACCTCACATATTGCGGATTTCTTGAAATTAATTTTCCATTCTGGACGTTTCATTGCATTCTTCCATGACATTATCTTTAAAGGATCATTCGGAAAATTGAATAACTCGAATCCCTTTTCTAATGAATTATCGCAATAATGTACGCAGCCGGACATTAAAATGTGAAATTTTGGCGGTCATAAAATGTCAAAGTGACAGTGACAGAAATTCGAAATAATTAAAAAAGTGGGCGAGACGACTATGGTGTTTCGTCACATTGTCAGGTGGGCAAACCAAATGAAACAAAATATTAAAAACCCCAACGGCTCTCAGTTTTGTGTCCGGACTCAATCACCGGCAAAAAATCGACCACCAAAAAATTTAGCAAAATTGTTCGTTTTGTAATTTTTTTAATTGTTGTCCGATTTTGGTGTAATTGCGACCAAATCGTATATTCATGTTTCGGATTGTTAGCCTGACTAGTTGGCGAGAATTGACAAGCCCCGGGGTTTATCGCGGGAGAGAGAAGGACATATAATGCCCTCTCACTCGCGAGAATGCATTTGGCACATAGCCGAAGCACAGTACTTCATCATACTTCGTCTCGTAAGCAACTGGTTGGCTCAGTAGGCAGAGCATCGGCATGCCAAGCCGGCGGGCCGGGGTTCGAATCCGTGCGAGGCTCATCTTTTTTTTTTTTTTTCCTTGTTCTCAAGTGATTTCTAAAAAATATTCTCTATGGGAAATAGGTTCATTTAGGGGTTTTCTATGTTTGTGGTTTAGGCCAGAGGTGAGGTTCGGTTAGGTTAGGTTAGGTTAGAATAGAATAGAATATTTTATTTGGTGTTAATAAACATTAAGTTTTACACAGGTCAACGAAACAAGTACAGATATACTCATAAAATAGATAGGTTAGGTTTTCTCATTTTTTATGCAGAAACAATATTTTCCTTCCTCAAGAAAAATTCTCCTTCTTCAAGAAAAAAGGTTCATCTGAGCGAGAGCGAGTTATACGTCCTTCTCTTTCCCGCGATGAACCCCGGGGCTGGTCAATTCTCGCGACTAGTTGATGACTTAATCATTATACTGGGAAAAACAAAAGTTACTTTTTCATCGTGAACTTCTTAACGTCCTGTGGCAAAGGTGAGTGGTTAAACTTAGCTTCATTATGTTTTCCATTGAAGTGTGATGCCTTCCCAACTGTATGATTTTTGATTCACGTCGATAAACACTTTTTAAGAGAAGATAAAAGTGTTTCAAGAAAGTATGGATTTTTTAACTCTCCCACCTTTTGCTTCATCGTGTTCTCAATTCAATTCAATTCAATTCAAAATATGCTTTATTGTCATAAGTAAAAACACACTCGTTGACAAAGCTTGTTAAATTACATGAAAATAAATAACACAAAGTACGACAATAGTACGAATTTGAATTGAATTGAAGTGGGATCCTTTTTTCCGTCCCTTCTTAACACAATGGTTCTAGATTCACGTCAATATCTACTTTTTATGAGAATATACAAGTATTTTGAGAAAGCTTGGATTTAATACTTGAAATGTATTTACTTTTGCCTCATTCATTCAAATTTGCAATATTTAATTTCAATTTGGGGAAGTACAAATATTTCACGCCTAAAACCACTAATGAAATTACAAAACAAATCAAGTTCATTATAAATATTACATTATTAATAAAATAGAACTAAGTATTATTCTATGTCTAATGGGGAAGACCACTGAGGAAAGAAATCCGTGCAAACCTCTTTCAATCGACGAATCATGATTTACGTTTGATCTACAATCAATATTATGAGTTGAAGTTGAAAGGAATCGAATCTATATCGTTTTGAAATCAGCATATTTCATTCGTTATTTCGTAAAGCCAAATATGATGGTGGAGTTGTGACGTATTAGTCCCGCACTGTAGCTATCTCTCTCTGATACCTCGTCATTCTGCAGTGTTGCAGTGTGATTCGTGAGTTCAAGGATAATAGGCGTGTTGGGACTAAGACGTCGCACCAGTCTCACCAATGAATTAACAAAGTTTCAAATGGCGCAGGAATTGTGTGTTTTGAAATGGACATATTTTAATTTATTTTTCTCATCGTCTCAGCATGAATGAAAAAATTCAAAAATAATTCACTGGTAGTTTTTCAGTACAGAGTTCACGATATTGTCGTTTCAAATAATAAGTGGTCTCCCCCATTCATCTGAAGAACAATTTTGATTACAGATTTAGCTAGATATTTGTCTCGCACCTCTTTGTCGCACGTTCACAGTCGCACTAAATTTTTATTTGATGAAATTCGTCATTCAAGACAGACTTTTTGCGGGCAACCCTGTATCATTGTGTTCGCAATAAAACAGCGCTTATTTTTATATTTGGTTTATTGATTTAACATGTAGGTGAAAATAACTAGGACCGAAATACCTGTTGAAAACTGACAACCCAATGGTTAGACCCGAAAAAATATAGGCAACCCTACGTTTGCATATTCTATAGGCTTTGTACTTACAGTTGGTGTGAAATTTGTTCATTCAACTCATCGGTAGAAATAGAAAAAAGTGATTTCTGAATTTTTAATCAATTATAGCCTGGCCTGGATTTTTTCAGCCAGCTTATTTTTTTTTAAACATAACATGCTAAAATACTTGTAATAACTATTTGTGTATTTAGAGCGCAAAGTGATAGATTGCCGCTCGACAAAGAAAGTTACCGCGCGATGCGGAGCGGAGCGCGGTAATCTTTGGAGAGCGGCAATAACACTTCCTGCTCGAAATACACACAAGATTTTTTCTACTAACGCAGCTTCTGGAAATAACTACCCTGAAAGTATGAGCGATTGAAATAGTTGAAAAAGTTCATATCCATATTATCCCATATGTCCAAAGGAAACAAAAAAGAAAAATCGAAATAACTGACAAGCCAGAAAAAAAATGTCGGGCCTACCGAGAATTGAAACTGGACCACCAGCGTGGCAACCTGGGCATCAGACCTCTGAGCCATAGTACGATAAACTCTGCAATCAAATTGAACATTACTCGTTAATGAAATAAAATAAAGATACACTGTCTTTCTGATGACATCTTTAACATTCAAGCATGTATACGTACCATCGAATATAGACCAATGAGTTGACTTCAGAGTCTTTGATTTTACCAAAATAAGTCAGTAAAACTTTTTCTGAATACATATTCATCTTCTCGGAGTGGCACCAATTTATGAATGTATCATATTGTAATTCATATTTCTTCCTTGATTTCTCCGGTAAGAAATTCAAACTCTTGCGCTTTCTGCTATAGGTATCAGGAGGTATGTTTGATGATTCATTGTCACTATTTTCCATCATGAAAGAATTGAGGGTTTTCAAGAATAGATAAGTATAGGTTACAGAGATGTGCGAGCGTTTTTTCAATAGGTCGCGTGCACGAAGACCGACCCTGGAGGCAAAATATTGAAACACAACCTCATTCTTCTGTGAATTATTGAAACACAACCTCACTTTTTCATTTGGTTACAGAGGAATCAAGAGGTTGAAATAGTTTTTCACAATATTTTGATGTTTCTTGCGTTATTCATTAATTCAAGCATGCCTTCGCATTGTGCTGTTGTACAATGCACAACAAATGCAGCAAGAGACTAGGGAATATGATTTTTCAGGTAAATAGTAATCTCACATAGTTAGCATTATAAAATGTTGTCATTCCTTATTAAAATTCCTTCTGCCTTCTGCCACTTCTGCAATACAAGCTAATGCTGCTAATAGATTGAAAATGTCTACAACACACAAGATCGTCAGCATGTCAGACCAGTCCTACCGATTGATTGCATGAATCCAATCTTCTTGCATTATTCTAGAAATTTCAGGTATATTTCTATTAGCTGATCCTATTGCAGAAGGAATTCCGATGAGAAATCAGAGAAATAACCAAATTTCAAAAATGAAAACTATGTGAGTGACTATAGTAGGTACTTACTTTTGAATCATAATGTACCATCCGGATTTCTTCATCTTCCGCTGCAGTTTTTGTGCATTTTACAACAGCACAATGTGATGGCATTAGCGAATTGATGAATAGCGGAAAAATACGATTCATATGCCAAAATAATTGTGGAAAACTATTTCGATCACTTGTAAACAAATATGTTTTGCCTCCAGGGTCGGTCATCTGACAGTTCTTGCACGCGACCTATATTTCCGCTCACGAGCGCAAATGCTGTCAAAGAATGACATTTCTGGGAAAACGTCAACTTTGTGCTGGAATTTGAAAGCGTCAAAGGCTACTTTGTTAAGCGTTTGTAGAAAAAATAATTTTCATCCATTGAGCAGATGGGTGAAAGTTGACCTTACTTCGGATCTCAGACTATAATGAATCTTTCAATTCCCTTCTGTTTTTTTTATATCAGAGGTGGATTTTACTATATTTGGAAGGTGATTGTACATTTTTAGGCAATTATAATTTATGGAATCTTCAATTAATGAACTACCGGCCGAGGAATCTTCACTATGTATGCCTGCCGTGTGTTGTAACAGGAGTCCACTGCTGTCTAATTAGCTCTGGTTTTATGAATCACACACACCGACTCTACAAAGTGTCCCAGAACAAAGTACCATAAATTCTACAGGGTGAACTAGAGACCAAAATAGGCCGATTGAAATCAACTTTTGTTTTACACAATTGGATAATTCATAACCACGCTATGAGCGGTTTTTGTCAGTTAGCCTGTATCCTGTATATAAAAATATTCCATTATGAATTATGGGATCTTTCATTAATGAACTGCAGAGCCGAGGAAGCTTCACCATGTCTACCTCGCGTTGATTATAATTCAAACACACCTACTCTATAATAATCTGCTATACTACAGTTGACATTTTGGGGTCTCTGAATAACACTCCACATGGGATTAATAATCTGATTCACAACACTACTTTTCTTGAAGGATTTTGGCGACAGCGCGAGATGCTTCCAACCTTCCCAAGCGTACCAACAGGAGACCCGCTGCGAGTACTTGTCATACATCTTTGTTATATATTTGAAAGGTGATTCTTAATTTTCAGGCCATTATGAATTATGGAATCCTTCATTAATGAACTCCAGGGCCGAGGAAGCTTCACCATGTCTGTCTAGCGTATCTTATGAATCAAACACACCAATGTATGATAATCGGAGATACTAAAGTTGACATTTAGTGCTCTCTGAACAACTCTCTACAAGAGTTTCTTGGATAAATAATCCGATTCAGAACACTACTTTTCTTGAAGGATTTCTGCGACAGCGCGAGATGCTTCCAACCTTCCCAAGCATACCAACAGGAGACCCGCTGCGAGTACGTCTTCAATACCGACAACTTGCTCAATTTTACCCAATAGTCAACTTGTCATACATCTTTGTTATATATTTGAAAGGTGATTCTCAATTTTCAGGCCATTATGAATTATGGAATCCTTCATGATAATCAGAGATACTAAAGTTGACATTTTGTGCTCTCTGAACAACTCTTTAGAAAGTTTCTTGGATTAATAATCCGATTCAGAACACTACTTTTCTTGAAAGATTTCTGCGACAGCGCGAGATGCTTCCAACTTTCCCAAGCGTACCAACAGGAAACCCACTGCCACGAAGAGTACGTTCTCAATTCCAACAACGTGTTCAATTTTATCCAAAAGTCAACTTGTCATGCATCATTGTATTCAGTAAAAAAAATCAAAACAAAAAACATATGGCGCCATTAAAAAAAAAAAGTTGACACTCGCGGAAGCTTCACCATGTCTGCTTTGCGTTTATTTTAATTCAAACACACCTACTCTCTAATAATATGGGATACTACAGTTGACATTTTGTGCTCTCTGAACAACTCTTTACAAGAGGTTCTTGGAATAATAATCCGATTCACAACACTACTTTTCTTGAAGGATTTCGGCGACAGCGCGAGATGCTTCCAACCTTCCCAAGCGTACCAACAGGAAACCCACTGCCACGAAGAGTGTGTCCTCAATTCCAACAACGTGTTCAATTTTATCCAAAAGTCAACTTGACATGCATCATTGTATTTAGTAAAAAATGTCAAAACATAAGAAACATATGGCGCCATTAAAAAAAAAGTTGACAGTCGCGGAAGCTTCACCATGTCTGCTTTGCGTTTATTTTAATTCAAACACACCTCTACTCTATAATAATCTGGGATACTAACTACAGTTGACATTTTGTGCTCTCTGAACAACTCTTTACAAGAGGTTCTTGGATTAATAATCCGATTCAGAATACTACTTTTCTTGAAGGATTTCGGCGACAGCGCAAGATGTTTCCAACCTTCCCAAGCGTACCAACAGGAAACCCACTGCCACGAAGAGTACGTCCTCAATTCCAACAACGTGTTCAATTCTATCCAAAAGTCAACTTGTCATGCATCATTGTATTCAGTAAAAAAATATCAAAACATAAGAAACATATGGCGCCATTAAAAAAAAAGTTGACAGTCGCGGAAGCTTCACCATGTCTGCTTTGCGTTTATTTTAATTCAAACACACCTACTCTACAATAATCTGGGAACCTACAGTTGACATTTTGTGCTCTTTGAACAACTCTTTACAAGAGGTTCTTGGATTAATAATCCGATTCAGAACACTACTTTTCTTGAAGGATTTCGGAGACAGCGCAAGATGTTTCCAACCTTCCCAAGCGTACCAACAGGAGACCCGCTGCCGAGAAGAGTACGTCCTCAACCCGGACAACGTGCTCAGCGTTTTAGCGGCGCGCGCATTGTCCAAGGCGGGGCGGGTGACCGGGGGCGGCGGTGGGCAGCTGGTGGGCGGCGCCGAGGGCAGCTACAACCACTCGGAGAACTGGTCTGAGAGTGGGAGCTTGTCGGGCAGCGCGGGAGGTGGGGCGGCTGGGGCAGCAGGGGGAATAGTGCAGGTGTCGCCGCAGCGGTTGAATTTGAAGTTGAGAGCAAGTAGGTGCATTATTCTTTGTTTTTTATACAGTGTTTAAAAGCCAAATGGAATTAATTCATTATTTCGTTTACTATACATATTTATGAAAAATTTCGAAACACGTCAAATGTAACTTATAAATTTGCCAACGTGAAAATGCGACCCCTAACTTCAACTCCCTTAGAATGACAGGTACAATCCCCAATTTTTCAAATGGGAAGTATAGGCTTGTGATATATCGTTTGAAAGGTCTCTTCGTTCTCTCTTCAAAAATGTTATCGCTTTCAAATTTATTGCAATAAGTAAGATTGAATGGAACAAAATCATGTGGCTACTGAAATGCGCTACAATACAATCAAAACTTATTACAATATACTCAAAATGATTGGTTACGGAGATAAAATCCGAACACAACAGGAAGCAACTCGCCTATTTCATGAGAAATTTCCTGCTGTACCTACCGTCTATATCCCAAGGAACAATAAGTAAAATAGAGAAGCAGTTTCGCGAGTTTGGTCATGTAAGGCAGATGAAAAAACAAGCTGCCAATGCACTAAGTGATGAAATCAAATTAGCTGTGATACTTGAATTTGAGGAAATTCCACATACATCGAGTAGACAGGCATCCACTACATTCAATGTTAGCCATACATCGATAGTAAACATATTGAAGGAAATTAAAATGCATCCCTACAAAATGATACCAACTCAGGAGCTCATGGAAGACGATTTTGATAGGAGAACATATTTTTGTGCGCGAATGATGGAGATGTTGGATAACAATATTATCCAATTAGAAAACGTTATGTTTTCTTATGAGTGTACTTTTTCACTGCAAGGTCATGCTAATCGGCAGCATTGCCGCTACTGGTCAACGGAAAATCCTCACTGGATGTGAGGCAATTCCTCGATACAATATTTCCCAATCGGTGGATAGGGAGGCGAGGATCGATTGAATGGCCACCGCGATCACCTGATCTTACATTATTAGATTTCTTTTTATGGGGATATGTGAACATATGTGTACAAAACGAAACTTTTTGATTTAAATGACTTAACAGAACGAATAACTCTAGCGATTAGGTCGACCACGCCTGATATGTTGAATAATGTTAGAAGACAGTTTTATTTACGATTAGGATGTTGCCAAGACGTTCGCTGTGAACATTTTGGACATCTACTTTATTATCATTCATAGTTCTTTTCAATGTTTTACATTTCATTACGTTGTGCATTACATTTTTGTTTGTGATTGTATTGTAGCGAATTTCGGTTACCACATGATTTTGTTTTCTTCTATCTTAATTGTTGCAATAAACTTGAAAGCGATAACATTTTTGAAGAGAGAACGAAGAGAACTTTCAAACAATATAACACAAGTCTATACTTCCCATTTGAAAAATTGGGAGTTGTATCTGTCATTCGAAGGGGGTTGAAGGTAGGGGTCGTATTTTCACGTTGGCGAATGTCAATTTATAAGTTACATTTTACGTGTTTCGGAATTTTTTATAAATATGTAGAGTAACCAAAATAATGAAGTTATTCCATTTGGCTTCTACACACTGTATATGGACTACTTTATTGTACTGAAGTCTTGAAGGTACACCAAAGTAATTTTTCCTGGAACCTGAACCAGGCAAACCAGGTTTGCTTCATCATCACGTCACGGTAATTCTATTTTGACGTCACAGGGTTGGTAGGAATTAATTCATACAGATTGAGTCAGTGATTTAATTAGTGAATTAATTCAAATGATTTTTTTTTTTTTAGAAAGTCTTGTATTAATTCAAACTTACTCCAATCGAAACAAATCGCATTATCACCTTCAATTTAAACTAGTTTGAACTGAAAAATTCTATGGTATTATGGGAACCTGACCATCATTAACATATATCTGACAAACCGTGGAGCTCTTACAAGACCAAAAATTACTTTTCTAAAAGCCACTTTACAGTTTCAAATTTTGAATTGCAGGCAATTGATTGCTGCAGTTCATATTTCCGACAATAATGATTTGGAGGGTATTCAACACTGAATCAGAATGACCGGCTGCAATGTCTTTTTGTAAAAAAATATGTGTTAATGATGGAAAAATATTGCATAAAATATCGAAAATCCAAGATTTTATCACTATAGTTGCACAAGCAATACGAATTGACGCAATTAAAGTAGTTCCCGACCCATTTTCTGCAAGTCAACGAAAAATTGCCACAGCTGTCTAAAGGACCCCGCACTTTTTCTATATAAAAATGGCGTTCCGTCGAATTTCCCCAATTTTTGGTAAATGATAGTACTCGACATACTGATTGAATATGCCAAGTCCCAACTCAATCCTATGACTAGTTTACGAGATACAGGGTGTTGAAGTTGAAGAATACCTAATTTTTCTCGGCCTATATCTCTAAGATAGGACAAATGAATTCCAATTTTTCGGGAGCACGTAATAGTTATGCCCTTAGGCGCAAGAACTATAAAGGTATTCGACCAAAACTGATTTTTATTACAGGGTGATTCTCATTTCAAATAATGTGTTTTTTTGAATATCTGAATATCAATGCTACAAATTGATAACAATTACAAAATGAGATTTATAGCCAAGTATGCTCTTCTTACATCAATTGAATTCGTAAAATATAATAATTATACATGGTGTTTCATTAATGCTGTTGATTGCATAATTGGTCTATCCTAAAGTTCATTGGGCCACCTCGTATTATCGGGTTGATTCCAGACATTCAAAATATTTTTGAAGGATGTATCCCAATGAGTTCCATGATATACAGAGTGATTCATCGATTGAAAAAATTGACAACCACGAAAAAATATTCAAAAACCACTATTGTTTTCATCACCCTCTAATTCGAAATTATTACCGTCGATGTAAGATTTTTTTCCACCAATATACTCAGTATGGATATTTCAATCAAATTGGGGATTTTCAGACCCATGCTATGACTAGTTTTTTTATACATCGAATAATGTGAAAATAATTATGGAAAAGTAATTACATAATAACACGAAAAATTGCTCCGAATCGCAAAACTAGTAGTCACTAGTCAACTATGTCAAAAAATGTGATTTGTTCGTAAACAAAATCTAGTGGTCTTATTATAGGTCCGCTAGCAAAACATCTCGAAAATGTTTTTCAGAAAACATCAAACAAATCACAATATGCCCCCGAAAAAATCTCATCAACGACACAACTCATCAACGATCCCACTCATATAAACGTGCTAAAACTCATGAGCGTTCCAAGTCGACAGCGGTTTTTCCCAACTCAATCCTATGACTATACTTTTCGAAAAAAATATGAAACTAAACTTCCGCAAACGCCTAGTGAGAGGTGCGCGTTAATATATTTTGCAACTCTCCTTTATCCAACCAACTTCCAATCTTTTGATCATACTGTATATTGTTAGAATCGAAGTTAGTATATGCACATCGCAAAGACACTAAAGTTGGAGTTTTGGTTATGTAGATATTCGTTACCGGGTTCAGTATAGGCCTGAAAGAAAAATGTCAATTAAGAATTTCAATCACAGATTTTGAAAAAATAGACAAACCAACTCGTTTCCCCACCACCTGAGAGGTTGAGTTTCAGGCGCGTTTTTTTTATTGTGGTATCCCCTGTAGGCCTAGTCCACGTTAGAAAGTGAAAGTTCCAATACCTATAATATGATTGTGTGTAGGCAGGATTGGCGCAGTGGACGAGCACCCGAGTCAGGACTGCGGGGTCGTGGGTTCGATTCCCAGACAGCGCAAGGAATTTTTCGAATATTAATATACGAATTAAATATTGTGAAGTTTCGGAGCATCGGCTGGGGATAGTCCTGCACGATTCACTGTTGCGTGCCTACATACAATATAGATACATGTTCAGAACACTATGGGCTAAAGGACCTCATTAGGGATCGATGGTTGGTTGGTATATACATACCTACCAACGAAGGACATATACTACTACTACTACTATAATTATGTTTCACAAGGAACACAGAAATCAACTAATCGCCAGATTCAAATCAGTTCCGGACCGATGTTCATATTTTCAGGATTCAATCGATTTGCAGCATCGTCGATACAATTCAAAAGGCGATCAGATGGAAAGGTAATATTTCCTTGGTTTCTTGCGTATCCAAGGAACCATACCACACTGGCTACGTGTGCACACGTCCCTAATGTTCTAGCACCGGACCTACAAGTACAGTAGTACCCTAAAATGGGCGGATCTTGTAAATTATTATCATCGATTTCTCTGAATACTAACCACAGCATATGTTTAGTGGCATTTCTGAACCAAGAAAATACTCGAAATCTTAAAAAATTGGGTTCCTCAATGAGTTCGTCAATATCGAGTGTATTTTGTTCCCCTCCATCTCTTTGTATCGTGTCTTGTATGTAGGAGGCAGCTAAGTGAATGTGATATGACCCTGTGAGTGTTTTCAAATATTCTAAGTCAAGTCGAGGAAACGTCGGTACATGTCTATGGTTCAAACGAAACCATCGACCATTTCTTGTACGGAGGTTTTCAGCCTCAACTCGGGCCTGAACAATGTTGACTTCTTCGATATCATGCAACATTTGTGTAGCTAATTCCAATGTGCCCGGCATCCTTATTGGAGGATGGTATTTGTTTATTAGGGCGCCAGCAATCAAATAGAATTCGCGTAATTTTGCAACATGTGTTATTGATATCGCTCCTCGGAAAAATTTGAAAATCGATTTGAAATGCCCATTTCTAGCCTCTACAATCCATCTGGTGCTAGTAATTAAGCGTGCCCTATTAGTTTCGATTGTTGTGAGTTGTCTTTGGTTTGGTGGTAGAAATGGTGGCATATGGTAATGGAGACCAAGATCCTGTAAAAGACCAATAGAGTCCCTATAACCCCTATCGACTATCACTACATCGCCTTCTTGAAACCATGTCCTCATTCTATTTATATCATTCTGTAGCTCATGCTGCAGAATGGTGGCATCATTATTTCTAGCATCAGAAAAGTATGGACCATTAATTGCCAAGATGTAGCCATCAGGAGCGACCATAATTTCAGGCTTAACCAGGTGCTCATTTTTATGGAAGCAGTAGGATTGTCTCAATATCCGGAAATTACTACTTTTTTCTATTTTGTTATATGTACAGTCTATATACACAATTGCTTTTGGGATATTGGGAGAAGGGTTGTATAGCTGATTGGTGTATACAGACACGTGTCTATTAATATAATCGTCTCTTGTAATAGAGTCGAAACCAATATTATTAGTTACAAATCTTTGCATTAGAGATATCCTCACATTCGATATTATCAAGCTAGTTGTTTGTCTTGAAGAAAAATGAAACAAGATTTTCAAAAACTCATCTGAAACTCCATGTTTCATTTTGATTAGAAATGTCAGTAAATGTTTCTTTTTGATATGCCTTCTATTTCCCCCTTGCTCGATTGTATCACAAAATCCATAAAGTTCTTGAAAATCTTCTTTTGAAATCGACGTCAGAGCTTTGAACTCTTCTTCTGTAAAACTATCAATATCATCCCAGTTTCTAATACGTCTATTTTCATTGGCAACTGTTCTCATACACTGTAGAAATTGAAGCATATTTGATATCAAATAGGGTTTGTTGATAAAATTCAAACCTCCATGCAAATTATTCAAGAGAAATCCATGAGGGTCAAGATGATGACCACAAATTCTCAGAAAGTCCGGAACATAAATATTCGTTACAACAAAAATGTTCACCCTACATGCAAGAGTTATTCTCTGAACATGTTGACGAGCATTACAGATTATGCAGGCACGGCTCATTACTGGACTCAATACACTTAGGCGAAGACAGTTTGGGTTATTTTCCATCTCATTGATATCAATTATTACACTGTTATGACAATTGAAACAAACTCTGGTATCATCAAAAATGTCAATTGGAGGATTTCCAGCAGCTTGTCTTCTAAATGTTGCAATTTGCAGAAAATCAACATTATCTTCACGATTTATACGAATTGTGAGTCTAGGAATGAAATTCCCTTCGCATACATAACATCTTACCCTATTTGCAAATGCCATAATGCGCACTAAATTCACTAAACAATTACTGAAAACGACTTAAAAAACACTCACGCTGATATGATATTTTAAGATACTGACAACCCGAAAGTTGCTGGATGACAGACACATTTATTGATATCATGATTTTGTTTTCTAAGCCTACTGAAAAATATTCTATCTGGTTGCGATAATCCAAATTCGACTTCTACGAAGTAAAACATACTTATTAATTCGTGACAACCCAAGTTTCTAGACTAATTCGACCCCGCCGATTCCGAAAATATCAGTTGTCAACTTGAATTGGGACTAGAACTTACCCTAAAATATAATTTTATAGTTATTTGAGGATGTCTATCGATCTATTACGGTATGTATATCTTACGATATACATTACCTAATGCCACTATTTCTTCCAACAAATAGATGTTGTTGGAAAACGAGTTGGTTCATGTATTTTTTCAAAATCTATGATTGCAATTCTGAATTGATATGGAGTGGAAGAAAGAGGCTTCGAGATTGTTTCATTATTATTTTACTATATTTTTGATGTGTTGGATAAATGATGATTCCTCGGTACCTACTGATGTTCCTGTATTCCATTTTTCTTTCAAGTCTATACTGAACCCGGTAACGAATATCTACATAACCAAAACTCCAACTTTAGTGTCTTTCCGATGTGCATATACTAACTTCGATTCTAACAATATACAGTATGATCAAAAGATTGGAAGTTGGTTGGATAAAGGAGAGTTGCAAAATATATTAACGCGCACCTCTCACTAGGCGTTTGCGGAAGTTTAGTTTCATATTTTTTTCGAAAAGTATAGTCATAGGATTGAGTTGGGAAAAACCGCTGTCGACTTGGAACGCTCATGAGTTTTAGCACGTTTATATGAGTGGGATCGTTGATGAGTTGTGTCGTTGATGAGATTTTTTCGGGGGCATATTGTGATTTGTTTGATGTTTTCTGAAAAACATTTTCGAGATGTTTTGCTAGCGGACCTATAATAAGACCACTAGATTTTGTTTACGAACAAATCACATTTTTTGACATAGTTGACTAGTGACTACTAGTTTTGCGATTCGGAGCAATTTTTCGTGTTATTATGTAATTACTTTTCCATAATTATTTTCACATTATTCGATGTATAAAAAAAACTAGTCATAGCATGGGTCTGAAAATTCCCAATTTGATTGAAATATCCATACTGAGTATATTGGTGGAAAAAAATCTTACATCGACGGTAATAATTTCGAATTAGAGGGTGATGAAAAAATAGTGGTTTTTGAATATTTTTTCGTGGTTGTCAATTTTTTCAATCGATGAATCACTCTGTATATCATGGAACTCATTGGGATACATCCTTCAAAAATATTTTGAATGTCTGGAATCAACCCGATAATACGAGGTGGCCCAATGAACTTTAGGATAGACCAATTATGCAATCAACAGCATTAATGAAACACCATGTATAATTATTATATTTTACGAATTCAATTGATGTAAGAAGAGCATACTTGGCTATAAATCTCATTTTGTAATTGTTATCAATTTGTAGCATTGATATTCAGATATTCAAAAAAACACATTATTTGAAATGAGAATCACCCTGTAATAAAAATCAGTTTTGGTCGAATACCTATATAGTTCTTGCGCCTAAGGGCATAACTATTACGTGCTCCCGAAAAATTGGAATTCATTTGTCCTATCTTAGAGATATAGGCCGAGAAAAATTAGGTATTCTTCAACTTCAACACCCTGTATCTCGTAAACTAGTCATAGGATTGAGTTGGGACTTGGCATATTCAATCAGTATGTCGAGTACTATCATTTACCAAAAATTGGGGAAATTCGACGGAACGCCATTTTTATATAGAAAAAGTGCGGGGTCCTTTACATTATACATAGGCGCGCAATCAAAATTGTTCCGATTTGGAAAATTGCCAACTTTAATGCGGCTCTAATGAAGATTATCAATAAGAAATAAGTTGCATTTGCAGTTATTAGTTAAATCTACTATAATAATAAATAAAATTAGGTTTCTAGGTGAATTAATTAAAAAAAGTCCGAATTAATTCAAAAAGTCGGACTATTTTGACTTTTTTATAAAAGTCATGACATTACAACCCTGTGACGCCTTGGTTTACTTGTAGAGTTTGACAGATGTCAGTTTGTCAGCTGGTCATTTCCCTTGTTGGTTTTAGTAGTCATGTATTGAATGAGAAATTCATCATTTGTAACAAAAAGGTAGTGTTAACTACTTCATGAACTACCTCAGGAAGCTGGTTTGAGAGGTTGGTTAACTGTTATGTCATAGTTTATAATACACTTCTAGGAAAATGGACTGGTAACTCAATGTTGACCTGGTTTGGGTGGTTAACTTGGAGGAAAATTGTTATCACAAGATCCCGGGTTAAATTCCCAGCCAGAGCAAGGCACTTTTTTCAATATTTAATTCACGAATTAAATATTGTAAAGTTTCGGAGCATCGGCTGGGGATAGTCCTGCACGATTCACTGTTGGGTTCCAATTAACAGTGCTGCTCCTAAGTCCTAATGTGGCGCATGGAGTTAGTAACAAAGTCTACACAGAACACACAGAACCAAATGATGATGTGCTTGTGAGCATCAGAGAAGGAGTAGGACGGTGTATGTAGGTGGGTGTGGAAAACTACCAGCTGAGGGGAAGAGCGGGCCAATGCTGCTTAGTAGGCCTCGTCTAACAGGGGTTAAAGATGTAGCTGGCAGGCCTGCCACTTCAGCTATTGGAAATGAGTACATTACTAGCATACCAAACACAACCGAAAAATCTGAAAGAGAGCTGATGAACGGTACCTGAAAAGGATGTTGGCCAGCTCTCTCATTGAAACACCTTGGGGCTTGCAAGAAGGTCCCATAAGGGACTAGTTGCTGACGTGCAAACGTCTCCCACCAGTAACAGTACTATATTGGGTGACTAAGAAAGCATTTGACAGGGCGTCATTCAGTTATTTTTCATGCTAGACTTTTGACATTTGGATCAAGGATATAGTTCATTGAAACCCATATTATCCCTGAAAAAACAACTGAATATCATTTCCGGTTTTACCAGAAATCGATCTAGGTCGAGAATTTTGAATGGAACCATTTAGATATTTTTACACCATTTGATAAAGCAGAAAAATTTACACATAAGTATAAAGAAAGAGAAGATTTCATATTCTCTATCTGATAGAATATGATGTGATTGTAAAATTTAATAACCCTAATAGGAGTACGCAGTGATGATGAAGTGAAAGAACTTGCATAGATTGTGAAAGAAAACGTATACTTTGGTTTACATTGAAAAAACTTTCAGGACAATCTTACAGCATATCAATGAAATATACTCAGGCGGAAGACTATCCTGTTGATCTCTATTATCTTATGGACCTCAGTAAATCTATGAATGACGACAAGGAAAAACTGTCTACTTTGGGCGATAAACTAGCTGCTACTATGAAAAAACTAACGTCCAATTTCAGATTGGGCTTCGGCAGTTTCGTAGACAAAGTCGTAATGCCTTATGTCAGTACGCTTGAAGAGAAGTAAGTGAATTTTAATGTAGTATTGTGATGCTTTTTGTAAGACTTTTACCCTTGTATTCATTAATTCATTACTTTATGAAGAAAGTATAGCCATGATTCCATCTTATTCTGCAAAGGAATAATATTTTCCCATTGGTTCAGTCACAGAGCAGAAATCACTCGCAAATATTATACATGGTTGACCACTGAATTTTTATTTCTAGGACTTGTTTTGGTCAGAAAAATTGTGTGGAATCGTGAGAAAGGTTTTTTCTTACCACCTTGTGTGAGTAAGTATCTTTAAACATGTCTATATTAATTTGTCATACTCTTTGAGCAAATGCAACAATAATATTGCCGAACACTCCCAAAGCCCAAAATATTTGACAACATTTTGTTATAGAATACAGAGTGAAAAAAGCTAGGTATTGTATGACCTCACTCTGAAATGATGCTCTTTCTGTTCCTATAGGTTCTTGTATAATGCTACTTATGCAGAGACATGTTCTATACTTTATTACAATAGGTAATATAAATTTGTTACATATTTTCGTAAACTTATTTTGAAATTGTTATTGCACGGGCAGAATTGTTAATTGAATATTTCCGACACAGTTCAATTGACATTTTTAGAACATCTGATCGAGCTCAAAATTTTTCTTGATTTCATCAACAATTGCTCATCTATCGAATGATGTCGGACATATTAAATGAATCAAACTTTCTTGTCTCTGTTTCGAGAATCAGTTCATGAGAGATTCTGGTGGAGTTTAGAAACATCCTGTATAATATCATCGGGTGGTTTTTCTACTGGGCTAGATATATTGGGTGATCATGAGAATTGAGATACCCTGTGAATTGTGAGTCATAGATGAAATTTTGTTTGAGTTCAAATAGTCAACAATTGGCCTCTTCTAGTTTTGCAAAAATGTTTTTAAAGATCTAGGTGGCTTTTATTTTCTGTGTGATAAATGTGTCTGATATAAAAAATATTTAGTTCAGAAAATTTATTTCTATTGATTTTGAGTGCCAGTTACAAGCATGATAGTAATACAATGAAGGAATCTGTTATTTCACACAAGCAACCAAAACAAAATCATTTGACGCCACTTATAGTATATTCCATTTAAGAATAAAGCGGATAGTGAGATACGGATTGTTTGATCTCGTTATTCATTGGTCTAGTCGCCAGGCTGTCTATCAACAGTCTGAAAAAATCAGAACTTGGGGTGGTTGATAATCATTGTTTTATAACTGGCAGTGGCGGCTCGTGACTTTCATGAATGAGGAGGCTGAATGATATGAGATTTGAGATGTGTTTCTGTGATTTGCAGTGTCTATCCAATCCGCGAGGCAAATTTTTCAAATCATTACATCCTAATCGCCCCCAACATGATGACTTATCGGTTGAAAATAATACGCAGATCCCGTGAACCAGATATATTTTTTATAATTATCAGAATTGAACGAACGATTTTGTTTGTTACCTGTTACAATCAGATTTTTTAATTCCGGTGTCGGACGTTTGTTTTTCACAATCAATTTATCTTCATGAGACAAAGCACTGAATGAGTTCACCAAAAAGTATTCCACTAAATCGCAATCGTTTAAAACACTCATTTTTCAGAAATTTACGGACGTATTCGGACATTTGCATTGCGCGCGTGGGTTGCGCGTTGTGAAGGGAGTCTAGCCTCCTATAGATGTTGCCAAGTTGAATATTTTACGCGTGATTTGCAGACTTCAACGTGTGATGCGTGGGCAAGCACTGTTGTCAATTCAAAAATATTTACCTAAAAACAGGAAATAACATCAAAATCCATGTATTTTGGTGTCCTTTTAATGAGTAAGTATAGATAATATCAGTTTAAGGAAAATCTCTGAGGAGGCTCAGCCTCCGTTGCCTACTCTGAGGAGCCGCCACTGATAACTGGTTTTACTGTGAATATCATTAACCATTCCATTATCATTGACATCGTTAGTTAGCCTCTACCGGTCCATCACCCAGAAGCACCAAGATATAACCTCAATTTCGACCATAAATTCCATCAGTGTGTAACTTTTTCAAAAACAAAAATGTATCGCCAGTATATTGTTTCTACTTACATATTATTCAAGGGAAATCAGTTAAAACCACAGACGCGATGAAGTTTTTGGGTGTAAAACTTGATGCAAAACTAACATGGGAGCCTCATATGAATTGATTTCGTCCTTGAGTACATGATGTTATATAATAAGAAATTTGAGAGTTACAGTTCACTAGTGAGAATCTGGCTTGTGCTATCCATGCCATTTACTTTATTCTTAACTGGAATATACTAAAGAAATAATTCAAGGAATCAAATTGAAATTTAACATCCCCACATTTTCATCTGGATGGTAGTTGAGTTAGGTTAAGTAAACTGAAATAGAACGTACCTACTTTGTAATCAAAACTTTTAGGCTCCATCTCGAACAATTCAATAGTCACCTACACACATATACAGGGTGTTTCATTGGGAAAGGTAAATAATTCAACTGTGGATAGGGGTCACTGAGGTGATTTCAAAAAACCCATGGTTGATGGGTCTTCGACTTCTCATAACCGAGATACAGGATGTTTCATCAATTTTGTCCATATCTTCATTGTCTCATAACTTTCCAACCAACCTGTATATATTTTTGAAAATTGGTACACTTGCTCAATCTACCCTGTGGAATTGATTGAGGCAACAACAAAAGATAAAACCCAGGTCCGGCTTCACTTAAAATCCACAAATTCTTTCTGCCAGAAAACAACACCCTATACATTCGAATTTCTCATTTTTCTTGCCATATCTGAAAAGAACATCAAAATTTCTATTCAACGATGTGCTTTTTATTCGTGCACAGACGATTTTAACTATTCATATTATGTGCTCAAAATATTATTTTTGCTTATTTAGGGGTACAAAATTGGAATCAGACGAGATTTATTAATTTTATTACTTTCTATTCAGTATACGTATTACATTTAGAGGGAGTATTTCATATCGATCTTTGTTCCAGGCTTAGTTGCAGGTCCGTCATCAAAACTATACAGGGCTTTTCACGATAAGCGTTAATAGATGGTTCTGGCAAACCAGGGAACGGATAAATCTAAAAATTCGAAGGTATGTATAAATCAACATGATCTACACGTCTGAAATATTTGAAACAATCCGGCGTTGCCGCTTCTACTCGAAAGTAGCAGTAACTTTGATTTTTCAAATGGGACACCCTGGATGCTTCTTGAAGAGCTGATTTAATCGATTCACAAAGTTCGGGGTCTAGTGGGACTAATAATTGAGATATTTAGAGTGAGAAAAATTGAGATGTTTCAACTTTAGAATTATTTTGCGAAAATATTTATTATTGATCAAAACGGTTTTTATGTCCCTATCTTAACTTTGTATCTATTGACATTTAATCAAAACAAATACAGGATGGTTCATAATTCAGATTTATGCACCACCCTGTATCTGTTTCAATCGAATATCGAATGGAAATTTGTGATAGGGACATTGAAGCCGTTTTGAACATGCAATAATAAATAGTTTCAACACAAAACATTTCTAAAGTTGAAACATCTCGATTTTCCACATCCTATATGTCAGTTATCAGTCCCGCTAGACCTTGAATGTTTTGAATCGATGAATTCTGCTGATCAGCAAGAATCCAAGAATGTAATGAAATACAGGGTGTCCCATTTGAAAAATCGAAGTTGCTGCTACTTTCTAGTAGAAGCGGCAAGGCCGGATCGTTTCAAATATTTCAGTAGTGTAGATTATGTTAATTTATACATACCATTGAAATTTCAGATTTATCCGTTGCCTGGTTTGCCGAAAACGTCAAATTAACGCTCATCGTGTAAAGCCCTGTATAGTTTTGATGACGGACCTGCAACTAAGTCTGGAACAAAGAACGATATGAAATACTCCTTTTGAATGAAATACTCACGTATACTGAATAGGAAGTAATAAAATTAATAAATCTCGTCTGATGCCAATTTTGTACCCCAAAATGAGCAAAAATAATATTTTGAGCACATAATATGGATAGTTAAAATCGTCTGTGCACGAATAAAAAGCACATCGTTGGATAGAAATTTTGATGTTCTTTTCAGATATGGCAGAAAAAATGAGAAATTCGAATGTATAGGGTGTTGTTTTCTGGCAGAAAGAATTTGTGAATTTCAAGTGAAGCCGGACCTGGATTTCATCTTTTGTTGTTGCCTCAATCAATTCCACAGGGTAGATTGAGCAAGTGTACCAATTTTTAAAAATATATACAGGTTGGTTGGAGAGTTATGAGACAATGAAGATATGGACAAAATTGATGAAACATCCTGTATCTCGGTTATAAGAAGTCGAAGACCCATTAACCATGGGTTTTTTCAAATCACCCCAGTGACCCCTATCCACAGTAGAATTATTGACCTTTCCCAATGAAACACCTTGTATAAGGCTATACTTTCTTCGACATTTTTATTGAGTTTTTATTGAATTTCGAATGTTCGTTGAGAGCGGTGCTAGTGATTGTTTTAAAAGTGTTCTGTTGGCTACTTCAGGTTGAATCGTCCCTGTGATATTTGTGTAGCTCCATATGGATTTCGCCACCATATGACTCTTGACAAAAACACGCATATGTTTTCAGTAAGTTCTCAGATTCTGAATCCTCATTCTATATTATATAAAAGTATCCCTATCCTGAATCCCCACTCATCTATCTCTATTTTGATATACACCCGAGCTAAGTCATTGTCAATTCAATATCACTAAATGTGACTATACCTTTTCAACTTCAATTTCGGAATCGGTGAGTTATATTTCGGAAAAAGTAATCTCGATTTCAGAATTGGTTAGTTCGATTTCAGAAATGGTAAACTCAATTCCAGAATCGGTGAGATGAATTTCAGAAAAAGTCCATTCAATTCCAGAAATGGTAAGTTGTATTTCAGAATTATTATTGGTAGGTTCAATTTCAGAAGATGAAATCCTTTTATATGTTTGAAAGGTTCTTAATTGCAAAAGAGAAGATTGTTTACAGTGGATGAACGGTGTTTGAGAGCCCTATGTTGAATCAGATTGAACATATATGGGGTGCCTTCAAGTCAGAAGTAAAGAGTTTCTTGCATCGCCAAAGGGTCATAGCTGGGGATCCGAACAGCTTGCTCAACCAGATAGAATTCAGACTGCGATGTCTTGAGGAATGTGCAGATCATTCAATGAAAATGATAACACCTCAAATGTGTTTGCATTCTCATAATCATGTGCAACGCTATCTTCCAGCGATTCGGATGGAAGGCATCTGTGGATTAAATTGAGATTATAATTATGTTATTGAATTGTTTTTGACAAGTTGAATATTGTAAATATGGTTTGTTAATCTCACATACAATTGGAAACATTTCGAACAAATATAAGGATTTTTTTTCTGAAATTGAACCTACCAATTCTGAAATACAACTTACCATTTCTGAAATTGAATGGACTTTTTCTGAAATTCAACTCACCGATTCTGACATTGAGTTTACCATTTCTGAAATCGAACTAACCAATTCTGAAATCGAGATAAGGTATAGAGTTTTCTTTGCATATGTGATTTGTTGAAATTCATTTGTATATTAGTCCAAGACTTACTCTAGAAATATGAAAACTTGTGTAAATTCGAATTGTTAGACATTTTCAATTGTTGAAAGCTATTGTAACTGTTGAATAATTAAGTAGGTACTGATATTGAGGTATATTGATTGATTTTTTTATTAAGTGGAGTGTATACAGTCTGTCCAAGATAAGGTTGAACAGCATGGGGATCTCGAAAACGGTAAGAGATACGAAATCGGTTAAATGGGGAAAAAGTTGCGCATTCGGAGGCTCATATCAAGAGCTTTCGAAAATTTTGAAAATTATTTTTAGTTTTTGAGTTATATCGAAAAAAGTGAATTTTTGGAATTTCTATTTTATTTTTTTTTTCTCCGTTATTATTAGAGATACAGCAAAACTGAGAATACTTTTTCATAGCAACTTTTGATGACGGTCAACGTGGTGATACCGATTTTTTCATGCGACGTTTCGTATTCGTGGAACCATCATCAACTTTTGTTTTTTAAATACGGTCCTGATATTTTTTTCACAGATTCTAAAAGGTTTTTTTTATTCTGAATTCAACCATGTATTATACAAGGTGGTTCATTTGTGTTTCGACCTATTTTTGGCCATCATCAATGTTTTTTCGAAACTCCAAAGGAAAAATGCCATCAGTTCCACTTATTTTGAAGGAAAATTAGTCAACACACTAATACCTCATCAAATGGTTTCAATCAACAACCCATTTCATTTTGCGGAAACAAAAATTCCATCCATACAAATTCAGAATATGTCAAGCGCTAAAACCAGGCGATGACGAAAGGCGCAAGACATTCTGTGAGTGGTATACCAGGAAATGTTAAAATTTTGCAGATTTCTTTCGAACAATCATCTGTACTGATGAAAGCATGGTCACTAATCATGGTAGCTTCGATAGAAAAAATACACATTATTGTTCACGAGAAAATGAACATTTATACATTACAGCGAGACACCAACACCGTTTCGGCTTTAATATGTGGGTTGCAATATTTGGTACACGAATTATTGTTCCTTCTATTTACCATGAAACACAGACTTCCGAACGTTATAGAAATTCGCTTGAGAATCATCTTCAGGAAGCTCTGGATGATTTACCGATTGCGGAAGTTCAGAACTCTGTTGGTTTCAACAAGATGGCGCTCCGGTACATAATTCCGTGCGTTTTTATCCCTTGGCCGGCGCGGTCGCCTGATTTAACACAGCTGGATTTTTTCTTAGGGGATATATCGAACTTTGTACACGCAAATAACTTTGAGGATGAAGAACTAAGGGACAGTGTCTTCGAAGCATTCAATAGAATAACCCCAGAAATGCTCAGCAATGTCTTAGAAACAACTGTGAGAAGAGAATATCTTTGTTCTGAAAATAATGGTTATCATTTTGAACATTTGTTATGAATGTCTCTGTAGGTATTGTCAAAGTTAAGTTGTTAAAGTAATTCGTGTAAGAATTCATCAACAATTTTAAACGCTGCATTGATCGAATGATGTAGTGAAATATTTTTTATTCACTTTTCAGTATTGAATAACTAATCCAACAAGTTTGACACTAAATGATGAGAAATAAGTGGAACTGATGGCTTTTTTTCTTTTGGAAGTTCGAAAAAATATTGATGATGGATAGAAATAGGTCGAAACACATTCGAATCACCTTGTATAGTACATTGTTGAATTCAGAATAAAAAAACCTTTCAGAATCTGTGAAAAAATCATCAGGACCGTATTTAAAAAACAAAAGTTGATGATGGTTCTACGAATACGAAACGTCGCATAAAAAAATCGGTATCACCACGTTAAACATCATCAAAAGTTGCAATGAAAAAGTATTTTCAGTTTTTCTGTATCTCTGATAATAACGGAGAAAAAAAATGAAATAGAAATTCCAAAAATTCACTTTTTTCGATATAACTCTAAAACTAAAAATAATTTTCAAAATTTTCGAAGGCTCTTGATATGAGCCTCCGAATGCGCAACTTTTTCTCCATTTAAGCGACCTCGTATCTCCTACCGTTTCCGAGATCCCCATGCTGTTACACCTTATCTTGGACAGACTGTATATCACAGTTAGCGTGCCGTTAGTTTGGTACCTGGAGTAATGCTTCCCTAGAATGAAAGTCTTCGTTAAAATATATTGGGTTCTTCAATTTCGTATCTTTCAAACTTCAAAATGTCATAGTATTCATCAAAATAAAAACAAGAACAACCTTTTTAATCTGTCCTTTACCTCAACATTTATATTTCTAAGAAGTTTTGGCCTTCTATACACATATCATCACATTGCAAATTGAATGACTTAGTTATTATAAATATCACTCTCATATCCTTCAGTGCTGTGATCTATTGCTTTGAAACATATCTGTATCGAATTTTGTGACTATGATGTACTGTGTTAGTGCAATGTTAGTGCAATTGTGTTTTGAAGCATTCGTAGGAAATGTAGAGGCATGTTCATATTAGGATGTTTTTTTTTTCAGTTGTGTGAATAATATTTCTGGTACTGGGTAGTGTCAGAGAAGGTATCACATATGAATAGTATATTCTAATTTGCAACTTGCATTTATTTTTCATGAAATGAATGTTATCGCACCAATGTCTCAAAGCATGCTTATTTCACTTATGAAAAAGTTCAAAATATAAAATATTATTGTTCTTTGTCAGATAATTGTTTTGGGTTCACTATTGTGTGTAATGGAGTGTTCAACAACTTGAATAACAAATAATTGTTGGAATTTTTGGGCATCTCTTCTCTTCTCCGTATTGGTATATCTGAGGGATCTGAAATAGGTTCAATATTGTGCTTGTGGAGTTCATATGAGAGCTAAATTATAAAAACCGGTATTGTCGTATATGGAAATTAACAAGTGCAATCAAATTCATTTATTGGTCATACAAAATTAAAAAAATTTTAGAATACAAATATGGTGTTCTCCATTTCTTCTAACACCATGTAGAACTCATCAAAATAAATAATATCAACAAAAATGCAAATATCGAAATATTACCGATAGAATCAGCCCTATTACGGTCCTGGTAATCACCATTGGTTTGATGTACGCAGTCTTACTCGGCGCAATAATGATTCTGTGTTTCTCAAATAGGCCCAAATGAATCTTCTCGTCTGAAATGTGTAGGAGTTTCATCTTGTTGTAACCACATTTCTTGTCTCACGTTCAAAGTACATCTTCAAATAGGTATTTCGGGAAATTATTTAGTGCTCAATTGTTAAGTACCTGAAATTCGGGGTAGAAGAAAGAAATGCCCGATAAGCATGTCATCGACAAGCCCAGCGAAAACATTGAACAAAAACGATGCTAGAAACGTGTTCTGCGTAGATCGTGAATTTTCAATTACCCAAATATGGGAATTATGGAAGATATTCAGCACACAGTCAAGATTCAACCCTCGCAACCAGACGATCTTGAGGTTGTAAGGCTTGTTTGTACTCTTCGATACTGGTATGGGTTGAATTGTTCTTGTCTTATTGTCTTTACTGAGAGTGACTCCGACTTGTTCTGTTGGTACTAGTACTTGTTGTTGGATCGTCAATGATCAATTCCAGAATGACTCAATGACTTCCTCAGTTTCAGCCATTTTGGATGGTACAGGCCTTTCATTCCTTCAAACACTGTGTCACGACACCTTTGCACCAAATTCACAAACATTCACGGTTTTGGATGATTTCTTAACAGGAATCTTTTCGTACACAAACGAAATAATCCTGCTGCTTTTGCACTTTGGTGACATTCGCCATAATTCAAAAAACTTGTCAACAAGTTCATCATTTTCCTATACGTTCGCCATCTTTGAACAATTCACAGATCAACAATTGATAAAGCAGATCAGAAATCGGAAAATGAAGATGACGAATTTATTGGTTTGAAAATTTTATTTTTTGCCATTTTTGTCTCTCAAATCAAGGTGAAAAATTGATTGATTTGAAATTTTCAGGTTAAGGTATGAAAGTCGATGTGTATACAGCCTTTTTTTCTATCATGACCTATTTTTAATAATGATAATAATGATAAT